CAGAGCCCTCCCCAGACCACCACAGCCCCACGCTCAATAGCAGTAACCACAAGCATTTACCGCCTCTGACCCCAACACACCTGGGACATCATCAGCTCTACCAGTCCACCAGAAGGAACCATCTTCATCCATGATCCCTCTGTCCCCTGTGAGGTAAGCCATGTGGACTCTCGCTGAAGCATATTCCTCCCAGCTCACCTGAGAGAAGAACAAATTCAGAAACCTAAATTTACGTAACTTCCACAATCATTTAATGGCATGAGCTGAGCACTGTGCTAGCCCTGAAGGGAGATAGAGAGAAATAACACAAAATCTGCACTCTCCAGGTGCTTCCCAGAGAGAAAACGCACATAGATCTTTGTTGGTGACTTCTGTTAGCACCAGGTCTTTTTTTTTTTTTTCTTCCCATCTGGAAACAGGAATAAGGATGGTACTTTACCCAGAGGTTTTTTCCTGAGGCTGAAATGATGCAGTGCAAGCATAGCATTTAGCATAGGGCCAGTGGCCGTGTGTGCAAGGGACGCTGGCTTCTATTTTCTTAGGCTCATCATCCATCAAACACAATCACTGCTCTTAAATTGTGCCTTTAATTTCCACACTGTCCATGGCTTTCTATCAGAAGGTGACTTTGGATTTATGTTCTTACACCAGAAACACAACACAGTGATTAGTACAAATACCCCTTAGCACAGACAACCTCATTTTGCTTGATCATTCTGTAGCGTATCCACAGATTCTTTTTTTAAAAAGATTTTAAGGGCACCTGGGTGGCTCAGTCATTAGGCGTCTGCCTTCGGCTCAGGTCATGATCCCAGGGTCCTGGGATCAGCCCCACATCGGGCTCCCTGCTCCACGGGATGCCTGCTTCTCCCTCTCCCACTCCTCCTGCTTGTGTGCTCTCTCTTTCTGTCAAATAAATAAATAAAACCTTAAAAAAAAAAGATTTTACTTATTTGAGAGAGAGAGAGAAAGAGAAAGAACACAGGGAGAGAGCACAGAGGGAGTTGGAGAAGCCGACTCCCCACTGAGCGGAGAGCCCGGCATGGGGCTTGATCTCAGGACCCTGGGATCATGACCTGAGCTGAAGGGAGACGTCCACCCGACTGAGCCACCCAGTGCCCCAAACATCCACAGATCTAACAGCACTTGACTTGCCTGCTATGGAAACCACAAGACCAGTTAGTCTAGGTTCTTGTATCTAAAAAAAAATCTGCTTATTAAAGTTCTAATGAATTTTGGTAAAACTGTGTAAGCAACTCCTTCTCAAGTAGCATAATAATCCAAATAGGTGTATGAGATGCTGGAATCTCTTATTTGGAATCTCTATATTATGGGGCAGAAAGAGATTTTTTTGGTATCAGTGTGTCTGAGTTATCTTGTCAAAGTTTGAAAATATTAAGCACTATCCCTTCAAGAAATTTTGTAATATTAGAACTTTTAAAAAACAAGAAACAGAATCTTAATTATAGAGAACAAACAAATGATTACCCAAGGGGAGGGGATGAGTGAAATATGTGATGGGGATTAACGAATACACCTGTGATGAGCGCCAAGCGTTGTATCAAAGTGTTGAATCATTAGGGGCACCTGGGTGGCTCAGTCAGTTAAGCGGTTGCAGCTCAGGTCATGATCCCAGGGTCCTGGGATCAAGCCCTGCCTCAGGCTCCCTGCTCAGCAGGGAGTAGGAAAAAAATTACCCAGCCTTTAACTCAGAAATTTGGCTTTTGATAATTTTTCATAGGAAATAATTAAAATGGCATTTAAAGAGTTAACAAGGTTACTCACTGAAAAAGTATGTTTAATATGAAACATTGGAAATGAAGAAAATTTCCAATAATAGTGGATATGTTCAATAAATCATGATATTTCCTTTTGGTAGCATGCTGTGAAATTAAAAAAATTTTCTGTTATATAGGGGCGCCTGGGTGGCTCAGTTGTTAAGCGTCTGCCTTCCGCTCAGGTCATGATCCCAGGGTCGTGGGATCGAGCCCCACATCGGGCTCCCTGCTCAGTGAGAAGCCTGCTTCTCCCTCTCCCGCTCCCCCTGCTTGTGTTCCCTCTCTTGCTGTGTCTCTCTCTGTGAAATAAATAAATAAAATCTTTAAAAATTTTTTTTCTGTTACATAAAAAGATTTACCTCTATGTGAAAATCATAAGTAAAAAAGCAAGATTGATAGCCAGTAGGTAGAATGTAATTCCAATTTTATAAAATAATATATGTACATAGAGAAATAAGAGAAGGACATATATCCAAACGTTAAAGTGAGTAGTAATGGTGGGATTATGAGTGAAAAGAATTTTCTTTGGCCTTTTTCTTAGTTTTTCAAAGCTTTCTATATATAACATAGAGTTTTATTATTAGAAAGGTTGAATAAATAATATTTATATTTAAAAGTAATTAAAAGGAGGCTTCCCTTTATAGAAAAAATGGAAATCTCTTTTTTTATATGTATATTTTTTTATTCTTATGTTAATCCCCATACATTACATCATTAGTTCTAGATGAAGTGTTCCATGATTCATTGTTTGTGCATAACACCCAGTGCTCCATGCAGAATGTGCCCTCCTCAATACCCACCACCAGGCTAACCCATCCTCCCACCTGCCTCCCCTCTAGAACCCTGTTTGTTTTTCAGAGTCCATCGTCTCTCATGGTTCGTCTCCCCCTCCGATTTCCCCCTTCATTCTTCCCTTCCTGCTATCTTCTTCTTTTTTTTTTCTTAACATACATTGCATTATTTGTTTCAGAGGTACAGATCTGAGATTCAACAGTCTTGCACAATTCACTGCGCTTACCAGAGCACATACCCTCCCCAGTGTCTATCACCCAGTCACCCCATCCCTCCCACCCCACCCCCCACTCCAGCAACCCTCAGTTTGTTTCCTGAGATTAAGAATTCCTCATATCAGTGAGGTCATATGATACATGTCTTTCTCTGATTGACTTATTTCGCTCAGCATAACACCCTCCAGTTCCATCCACGTCGTTGCAAATGGCAAGATCTCATTCCTTTTGATGGCTGCATAATATTCCATTGTATATATATACCACATCTTCTTTATCCAGTCATCTGTCGATGGACATCTTGGCTCTTTCCACAGTTTGGCTATTGTGGACATTGCTGCTATAAACATCAGGGTGCACGTAGCCCTTCGGATCCCTACTTTTGTATCTTTGGGGTAAATACCCAGTAGTGCAATTGCTGGATCATAGGGTAGCTCTATTTTCAACTTTTTGAGGAACCTCCATACTGTTTTCCAGAGTGGCTGCACCAGCTTGCATTCCCACCAACAGTGTAGGAGGGTGCCCCCTTCTCCGCATCCCCACCAACATCTGTCGTTTCCTGACTTGTTAATTTTAGCCATTCTGACTGGTGTGAGGTGGTATCTCATTGAGGTTTTGATTTGGATTTCCCTGATGCCGAGCGATATTGAGCACTTTTTCATGTGTCTGTTGGCCATTTGGATGTCTTCTTTGGAAAAATGTCTGTTCATGTCTTCTGCCCATTTCTTGATTGGATTCTTTGTTCTTTGGGTGTTGAGTTTGATGAGTTCTTTATAGATTTTGGATACTAGCCCTTTATCTGATATGTCATTTGCAAATATCTTCTCCCATTCTGTCGGTTGTCTTTTGTTTTGTTGACTGTTTCCTTTGCTTTGCAAAAGCTTTTTATCTTGATGAATTCCCAATAGTTCATTTTTGCCCTTGCTTCCCTTGCCTTTGGCGATGTTTCTAGGAAGAAGTTGCTTCGGCTGAGGTCAAAGAGGTTGCTGCCTGTGTTCTCCTTTAGGATTTTGATGGACTCCTGTCTCACATTGAGGTCTTTCAACCATTTGGAGTCTATTTTTGTGTGTGGTGTAAGGAAATGGTCCAGTTTCATTCTTCTGCATGTGGGGCTATCCAATTTTCCCAACACCATTTGTTGAAGAGACTGTCTTTGTTCCATTGGACCATTCTTTCCTGCTTTGTCAAAGATGAATTGACCATAGAGTTGAGGGTCCATTTCTGGGCTCTCTATTCTGTTCCATTGATCTATGTGTCTGTTTTTGTGCCAGTACCATGCTGTCTTGATGATGACAGCTTTGTAATAGAGCTGGAAGTCCGGAATTGTGATGCCGCCGGCTTTGCTTTTCTTTTTCAACATTCCTCTGGCTATGTGGAGTCTTTTCTGGTTCCATACAAATTTTAGGATGATTTGTTCCATTTCTTTGAAAAAAGTGGATGGTATTTTGATGGGGATTGCATTGAATGTGTAGATTGCTCTAGGTAGCATTGACATCTTCACAATATTTGTTCTTCCAATGCATAAGCATGGAACGTTTTTCCATTTCTTTGTGTCTTCCTCAATTTCTTTCATGAGTATTTTATAGTTTTCTGAGTACAGATCCTTTGTCTCTTTGGTTAGATTTATTCCTAGGTATCTTATGGTTTTGGGTGCAATTGTAAATGGGATCGACTCCTTAATTTCTCTTTCTTCTGTGTTGTTGTTGGTATATAGGAATGCCACTGACTTCTGTGCATTGATTTTATATCCTGCCACTTTACTGAATTCCTGTATGAGTTCTAGCAGTTTCAGGGTGGAGTCTTTTGGGTTTTCCACATAAAGTATCATATCATCTGCAAAGAGTGAGAGTTTGACTTCTTCTTTGCTGATTTGGATGCCTTTGATTTCTTTTTGTTGTCTGATTGCTGTGGCTAGGACTTCCAATACTATGTTGAAGAGCAGTGGTGATAGTGGACATCCCTGCCGCGTTCCTGACCTTAGGGGGAAAGCTCTCAGTTTTTCCCCATTGAGTATGATATTCGCTGTAGGTTTTTCATAGATGGCTTTTATGATATTGAGGTATGTACCCTCTATGCCTATACTCTGAAGAGTTTTGATCAAGAAAGGATGCTGTACTTTGTCAAAAGGTTTTTCTGCATCTATTGAGAGGATCATATGATTCTTGTTCTTTCTTTTGTTAATGTATCGTATCCCATTGATTGATTTGCGGATGTTGAACCAACCTTGCAGCCCAGGGATAAATCCCACTTGGTCATGGTGAATAATCCTTTTAATATACTGTTGGATCCTATTGGCTAGTATTTTGGTGAGAATTTTTGCATCCATGTTCATCAGGGATATTGGTCTATAATTCTCCTTTTGGATGGGGTCTTTGTCTGGTTTTGGGATCAAGGTAATGCTGGCCTCATAAAATGAGCTTGGAAGTTTTCCTTCCGTTTCTATTTTTTGGAACAGTTTCAGAAGAATAGGTATTAATTCTTCTTGAAATGTTTGGTAGAATTCCCCTGGGAAGCCATCTGGCCCTGGGCTTTTGTTTTTTGGGAGATTTTTGATGACTGCTTCAATTTCCTTAGTGGTTATAGGTCTGTTCAGGTTTTCTATTTCATCCTGGTTCAGTTTTGGTAGTTGATACATCTCTAGGAATGCATCCATCTCTTCCAGGTTGTCTAATTTGCTGGCATAGAGTTGCTCATAATATGTTCTTATAATTGTTTGTATTTCTTTGGTGTTGGTTGTGATCTCTCCTCTTTCATTCATGATTTTGTTGATTTGGGTCATTTCTCTTCTCTTTTGGATAAGTCTGGCCAGGGGTTTATCAATCTTGTTAATTCTTTCAAAGAACCAGCTCCTAGTTTCGTTGATCTGTTCTACTGTTCTTTTAGTTTCTATTTCATTGATTTCTGCTCTGATCTTTATGATTTCTCTTCTCCTGCTGGGTTTAGGCTTTATTTGCTGTTCTTTCTCCAGCTCCTTTAGGTGGAGGGTTAGGTTGTGTACTTGAGACCTTTCTTGTTTCTTGAGAAAGGCTTGTATTGCTCTATACTTTCCTCTTAGGACTGCCTTTGCTGCATCCCAAAGATTTTGAACAGTTGTGTTTTCATTTTCATTGGTTTCCATGTATTTTTTTAATTCTTCTTTAATTTCCTGGTTGACCCATTCATTCTTCAGTAGGATGCTCCTTAGCATGGCTCTCTTTCTTCCCTAAAGGCATTTACTGTCTTGACTTTTATGGTATTCCTTTCCTTGTTTTCCCTTATAGTTTACCTCCTAAGGAAATACCCCTAAACAAATTATCATATTTTACTTGCTTTTGATCTTTATGTGTGTAATCATATATTACTCTGTAATCTTTGGCTTCTTTTTTCAGTATTATGTTTTTAAGATGTGTCTATGTTGCTGTAGTTAAGTTTCATTGCTGTATAATATCCCATTGTATAAAAACATGATGTGTTTTTTATCTGTTCTACCATTAATGGACACTGGGTAGTTTTCATTTTGGGGCTATTAGTGATTAATGCTGCATTGAATTCTTGTACATGTACGCTGGTGCATATAAGCATGCATTTCTGTAGCATTTTTCTGGAAGACGAATTGCTAGTTCACACTGACATGACATTTTACCATGCGATTTTCCAAAGTATTGAAATGCTCCCATTAGCAGGAGAGGAGAATTCCCATTGTTCCATAACGTTGGCAATATTTGTTATTGTCAGAGTTTTTAATTTTTGTCAATCTGATGGATATATAGTGTTATCTTACTGTAGAGTTTTATTTTTGCATTTCCCCATGTTTGCAGGTTAATTTCAGCTAACCTGAAATCTGCTCTTTGAAACTTATGGGCATTTATGTATCTTTTAAAGAGTCTGAGATTAAAACGGCTACTTCAAAAATCAGAGTAACATGTCGTAAATATAGAATTAAAATATTAAGGTGTTCTGTGGCTACCCTTATGAAGCTAACTCTGAAACACAGTTTTGATTTTATTCATGAAGCCTCAAGCTGTTTGGATCCTGTTTCCATCTGTATTTCAAAGCTCATATTAAGCTACTTTTTGAACATTCCTCAGTCAATGATCTTTGTCCAAACCCAGTAAAAATACAACCAAAGCATAGCTAATGACTGCATCAGAGAATCTGCCCATTTTACCTACTTTGGATAAAGCTGCAGAAGAATGAAGAAGACACCCTCAGCCCTCCTGTCCCTGACTCTGACTCTGATGTACCAGGACAGGGTGATGAGGATGAGAAGGTGAACCAGATGTCTGCTACCTCTCTCATCCCCAAGAGCTGACCCGGCTCAGCCCCAGGCCACCTGGTACTGAGACCTCAATCACTTCTCCCCACGTCCTTCAGGGAATCCATCATTATTTTGTGGTTGTTTTTTTATTAGCAGAAAATGTTATGGGGAAAAATGAAGAAGAGGATTTACATCATGCAATGTACCTACTACAGATGTTCACAGCCAACTTTTTGGCTCTCTGAAATTCTTTCTCTCAGGGCTGCTACCATAACCCTTCTCTCCTTTCCTACACACATCCCAGTCTTCCTTGATGTCCTGGGCAATTCATTTCTACCCTCTAACTTGCATTCTCTGCTCAGAAATACAAAAGCCCTTCAATTCACATGACCCTACCCTTCAGAGAAGGCAATGCAGTTCTGTTAGCATCCTAACATGCTCTTGGGATCTTATCCCCTACCACCTTACAGTTTATAAAATACCCCTCATAGCCACAGAGAGTGTGAAGACAAGGTCTGATAAATACATCTTTGCCATCTTTTTATGTCAGCTTCCAAAGTTGATCCAAACCTTTGATCCAAACCCATTAGCCTCACCGCCACCACCCACCCCTTGCCAGAAGAGTTAACATGAACTGACAGGAAGTGAGTGACTTCCAGTTGGCTTTGACCACCAGCAAATTGCCCCAAAGGCAACTAAGAACATGAGGAAGCAGAAGCATGAATGATCCAGATGACGAGGCTCTGAGCTCTTAACACTCTGGGCCTGGGGCAGAACATCCAAGGCCTGACTGCAAGTTCTCTTGTCACTTTGCCTTCCCCTAAGTCTCAGGTTCCCTACCCTGGAGCACTCTCTGCTGCCAGAGGATCAAGAGCAGTGGAGAAAACGGACAGGTCTTCTGCTCTACGAGGTCTACGGACAGTCAGAAACAGTAGGTAGAAACAGTAGGTAGATGGTACTTTCTTGATCAGTCAGGATGTGCTGAGCCACTGAGCCCAGCAGACGAGCTGAACCATGTATATGCAGAGGCCCCACTCTGCTCACACATTGCCTGAAGCCAATGGGAGGCTTCAGAGTTCTAGGCTAATTTGCCCCAAATCAATTTGCACAAAGACAATTCACAGCTCATCAGTTTGTCAAGAGGCCAATGTCCTGAAAACTATTGGACAAAACTTTGAAAAGGGGTGTAAGGACATGGTGCTACCATCCCTGGGATCATTAGCTCTAGGGAGCCCAGGAGGGGTGGCGGGATGGGAGGTTCTCTCCAGTAACATGGAGCCCACCATCAGCAAGTCCTGCCTACTTCATTCCTTCCTAGGGTGGCAACCACAGGCAGCCAGGAGCTGGCCCCAGAAGTTCATTTCTGGATGCTCATGTGGACAGCACACAGGTTTGATTGTGGGACACTAGCTAGAGTGGGGGAGGGAACAGAGACTTTCTGTATATACCAACACACACACACAGACACACACACATACACACACACATAGTGTGACTCCCAAAGGCATCACTGACTAGCCAGGTGACAGGACATTCAGAGTATCAGGCATGTCTTAAACCAGAAAAACGTTATTAATGATAGTAGGGGCAGGGGCAGGTATCTTCCAACACAATTCTCAAGTCATTTCTGTTGCTGGGCCACTTTCCCCAGCCTCCTTGTTATCCCTGTAACTGACAGACAGACGACTACCATCTCAGGAGCTGGAGCAAAATGACTATTTTAGCCTCAATTCACATACTCGTCTTGACTTTTTTGCAAAAAAAAATATGCTTTTAAATCATCAGTTAATTGGTCCGCTTCCAGGCCTAAGAAATATTAAGACTCTAGGTTAGTTCTTGTATGGTTCATAGTTTATATTTGGACAAGGAGGAGGGTGGGATGAGAACTACAATATACCCATGATCCAGGTTCCTTTGTATCAACTCTTTGCAACAACAGAATACTGCCTCATACCCAGGTGGTGCTGTATTTCACAAAGTATTTGCATAGCCACTGACTCATCTCTGGGACATTTTCCACATGCCTGTACTGTGAGCAGCAACATAGCAAAGGAGGAAGAGCTTTCCCTCTCAGGAACTCAGACCCCGGTTCAAATCTCAGCTTGCCAATTACAGGCTTCAAGACCACTGGCATAGCACTGAACCTTCCAGAGTCTCTGCTTCTCTGTCTCCAAAATGGAAATATAACCCAGTCTCGCTGGGTTGTGATAAGGGAAACGAAAGGAAGTATATAAAGCTCTGGCTACAATGTCCAACCTCTTGTACATGCTCACCTTGCTGTTACTCTTGTTTTTAAGTAAGTGTTGCCCTAGATACTAGGGTAGTAGAGATGAATGGGGCAGTCTCTATTCTCAGGATGCTTGTTATTCACTGAGGGAAACAGACAAGCAAAAATAAGGATAATTGGGAGCTCTCGGTTGGCTCAGTGGGTTGAGTTTCCGACTCCTGGTTTCAGCTTAGGTGGTGATCTCATGGGTCGTGGGATTGAGCCCCTGCATAGGGCTCCATGCTCAGCGGGGAGTCTGCTTAAGACTCTCTCTCCCTCTGCTCCCCAAACCCCATTCAAGCACTCTTGCACTCTTTCTATCTCTCTAAAATAAATGGATAAATATTTTTTTAAAAAGAAGTATAATGCTCTCTTGGCTACAATGGAAGTGTGGGAAAAAATACTACAGAAGGAGAATGTCCCAACTGACTTTTCTTGGGGCCAGAATAATAGCTAGTTGTGACTGTTTATGGAGCTAACTTGGTGTGCCAGGCACTGTGTGAAGAGTTTTCCACACACTCACAGGTACTATGAGAGCTAAGTGTTATAATTACCCCTTTACAGAGAAGATGAAGGGGGATTAATTGGCACATAGCTGGAGTCAAGATTCAAATCCTTGGGTGGCTCAGTCGGTTAAGCATTTGCCTTTGGCTTGGGTAGTGGTCCCAGGGTCCTGGGATTGAGCCCCACATTGGGCTCCCTGCTCAGCTGGGGAGCCTGCTTCTCCCTCTCCCCCTGCCCGTCCCCCTCCACCCCTACTCTGTCTCTCGTTTTTCTCTCTCTCAAATAAACACACAAAATCTTAAAAAGAAAAAAAAAAGATTCAAATCCTGGTCTAGCTTAGCTTTAGAAAGATATTTTAGAGTACCATAAAGGAGGAATAAAGTTCATCAGGAGGATAAATGGGGGTGGGGCAGTTGCCTAGCAGAGGGGACAACACAATCTGAATATTCTCAGCACAGCTCTGAGTCGTTGAGACAGGGTTCCTATCACTGTTTAACAGCCTGAGTCAATGTTAAATGATATCATGGCCTTCCTCTAGCAAACGGACACATGTCTGACATACAGTGCGTACTCCACACCTCACGTTACATGCCCACAGCCCCGGGCTCACCCCTTTGCTTCTTTTTTGGCCCCTCGCAGTGGACCCGGTAGCCCCAGGAGCTCGCACAGGCCCAGTCTATGTCAGGTGTGGTGAATATCTGCTGACCAGAATTGGGTCCATGCCTTGCACCTAGAATCTGGGCCTTCTAGCTTCCCCATAAGGGTTCTTTGCATAGCATCGAATGACATGGATGAGTGAGGATGCTGTGTGTGGTTCTTAATGCTTTGTAATCAGCCTGGACTCTTTGGCCAACCCCATTTTCTTTCTTTTATGAATAGGGAGTAAGTTGTGTCACTCTCCGTGGAATGAAGATCAAGCCGGGTTCCATCGGGAAAGGCATCCCCTCCTTCGACGTCCAGGTCTGGTCCTAAAGGCATTTGCTGGGTGCAGTTAGGGCTGAGCTGGGATTGAACAATTGTGGGACACCAGGTGACAGAACCAGCTGTGCCCACTCCACCCCACCCCCACCCCAGTTGTTGTCCTTCTTCCTCTCCTCCTGTTTTCCCGCCGATTTCCTGGGGAGGCTTCAGTTGAGAACTGCAGTATCCTGGGCATGAATGCTGCTCAGCCTGGCAGCCGGAAGCCTCATACACAACAGATGGGACCAGAGCACCTGGAGGGAGCCCTGGCAGCTCTCTCCATCAGCTGGTGCTTCTAGTTTTCCCTGATCTGTGTTTTCTAGCTTGAAGACACGTTTGCCACGTCTGCATATCCGTGAGACCAGGAGACCCATAACTTGGGTTTCACCATTTCCTGACTTCAAAGTCTTCTGACAGCTGTAATCTATTTTTTGACAGGGCTCCTCCCCCCATTTATTCTCACCAGTGTCACACAAATAGTCAGGTACTGTGTGGGTGGGGCCGGCGTGTTGGGGTGGCCCTGCAGGTTGGGATCCACAGGCCTGTTGCTCCAGATCATTGACGACAAGGGCAACAGCCTGCCGTTCAACACTGAAGGCAACATTGGCATCAGGATGAAGCCCACCAAGCCCATTGGCCTCTTCATGGGCTATGAAGTAAGTGGTGATCCTCACCTGCCCACTTCCAGGCCCCCCAAATCCCTTCAGGGAGCAGTGTGGGTACTAAGGGGGTGGATACAACTCTGTACTACGAGCCTTCTTCACACCTCTCTTCAGTCACTCCAACTCAATGAAGCCTCTTCTAATTAATCTCTAAGCTCCTAGTGTGTTCTCACATCCTTTCCTGTCCAAAACCATCTGACACTTAAGTGCTGACAGGGTAGAAAGAAGCACCCCAGACTTGGGTTCCAATGATCTCTCTCTCTTTTTTTTTCAGATTTTATTTATTTATTTGACAGAGAGAGACACAGTGAGAGAGGGAACACAAGCAGGGGGAGTGGGAGAAGGAGAAGCAGGCCTCCTGCAGAGCAGGGGGCCGGATGTGGAACTTGATCCCAGGATCCTGGGATCATGACCTGAGCCAAAGGCAGATGCCTAACGACTGGGCCACCCAGGCGCCTGTCCAATGATCTCTTGAGGTTGAGTATGCAGGAAGCTTTGACTGAGTTCAAATCCTACAGTCCCACTTACCAACAGGCTGTGCACAAATCTGTTAACCTTGCTGAGCCTCCAGAGAGGACAGTGGTGCCCCCACTTCACAGAGGAAGAAACTGCAAATTGGAAGCTTTGTATGTTTTCCCCACGTCAAATAAATGGCAGGTCTAGGATTCAAACCCACATCTTTTTGGTTCCCAAACCCTACGTAAGAAATCCAGGGATTACATAAAACTGTGACAGGTTCTAAAGAAACCTGAAACTCTTGACCAGGCAAATTCTCAGCTTCCAAGATTGGTCAGGGGAGAGTGGACAGACCTTGAAGTTGATCTCAGACCCGTCTCCTTTCTCCACAGGAACAACCATTGGTGTCCCTGTTGGCCTCACTCTATGGCCTTGGGGGTGGGTGGTGCTGCTCCTTTTGTGACGTTATTGACCAAAAGCAAATAATGCAGGCCCTAGCCTTAATTCACAGTAGCACGATTTTAGGCTTGGATAAAAGAGGAAATAAACAGAGTAACAGATATATAGATCAGTGGTTCTCAACCCTGCCTGTATGTTAGAATCAGTTGAGGAGATTTAAAAAAATAATTCTTGGATCCAATCATAGAGATTCTGGCTAAATTAAACTGGGATGGTCCAGAGCAACATCAGTTTTGTTTTAAATTGGAAGTAACATATTTTATTTTACAAAGATGTCCTCCTCTATGCCCACACCTGTGTAGATATATACCCCATTTCACATGCTCTCTTGACTATAGGTTGTCACTCCTCCACTGAGATTTGTTTGCTTTTTTCCTTTCTTTTCTTTACTGAGGTAGAATATATAAAATTCACCCTTTTCACCATTTTTAAGCATACAATTCAGCAGCACTGAGTAAATCACAACATTGTACAATTACCACCATGCATGTGCAGAAATTTTTTCCATCCCAAATGGAGACTCTGTTCCCATTAAACAATAACTCCCCCCTCCTCCTCATATCCCCAGCATTTGGTAACCTTTAATATACTTTTTGGCTTTAAGAATTTGCCTATTTTAGGTACCTCTATTAAGTGGAATTGTACAACATTTGGCCTTTTGTGTCTGGCTTATCTCACCTAGCACATGTTTTCAAGGTTCATCCATGTTGTAGCATGTGACCAAATGTCATTTTTTTTTCAGGCTGAATGGTATTGTATGGGTATACCATATTTTGTATATCCATCAATTTCTTAATAGACATTTAGATTATTTCCATCTTTTGGCTACTGTGAATAATGCTGCAATGAACATTGGTGTGCAAGTATCTGTTTGAGTTCCTGCTTTCACTTCTTTTGGATATATACCTGAAAGTGGAATTGCTGCATCTTATGGTAATTCTATATTTAACGTTTTTTTTAAAGATTTTATTTATTTATTTGACAGAGAGAGAGAGACAGCGAGACAGTGAAAGAGGGAACATAGGCAGGGGGGAGTGGGAGAGGGAGAAGCAGGCTCCATGCTGAGCAGGGAGCCCGATGTGGGGCTTGATGCCAGGACCCTGGGATCATGACCCGAGCCGAAGGCAGACGCCCAATGACTGAGCCACCCTGGCGCCCCTATATTTAACTTTTTGAGGAACTGCCAAAATGTTTTCCACAGTGGCTGCACCATTTTATATTTCTATCAGCAATGTACAAGTGTTCCCGTTTCTCCATATCCTTGCTAATCCTTGTTATTTTCAGGTTTGTTTGTTTGTTTTGTGTGTATAATAGTCATTCTACCGCATGTGATGTGGTGTCTCATTGTGGTTTTGATTTTCATCTCCCTAATGACTAGTGATGTTGAGCATCTTTTCATGTGCTTATTGGCCATTTGTGTACCTTCTCTGGAGAATTGTCTATTTAAGTCCTTTGCCTATTTTTAAAATTGGGTTGTTTGTTTTGTTGTTGATTTGTAAGAGCTCTTTATATACTCTGAATATGAACCCCTCATAAGATATATGCTTTGCAAATATTTTCTCCCATTCAGTGCATTGTCTTTTCACTCTTTTGATAGTGTCCTTTCAAGTAAAATTTTAAAAATTTGATGAGGAACATTTTATCTATTTTTTTCTTTTGTTTCCCGTGCTTTTGGTGTCATAGTCAATAAATAATTGTCAAATCCAAAATCAGGAAGACTTCCCCCTATGTTTTCTTCTAAGAGTTTCAGAATTTTAGCTCTTGTGTTTAGGTTTTTGATCCATTTTGAGTTAATTTGTGTATATGGTGTATAAGGTAACTGCATTCATTTGCATCTGAACATCCTAGTTTCTCAGTGCCATTTGTTGAAAAGATTGACTTTTCCCACTGAATGGTCTTGGCATTTTTGCCTAAAATCCATTGACCATATATGTGAGGATTTCTTTCTGGGTTCTCTATTTTATTACAATCATCTATGTGTCTTTTTTTTTTTAATGCCAGTTTTGTATGGGTGTACCATATTTTGTATATCCATCAATTTCTTAATAGACATTTAGATTATTTCCAGTATAGTTTTGCAGTAAGTTTAAAAATCAGTAGTGTAAGCTCTTCTCCCTGGAAAGAAGAACTTTCTTCTCCCTTTAAAAGATTGTCTTGGCTATCTGGGATCTGTCAAGATTTCATATGAAATCTATAGTTTTGCAGTAAGTTTAAAAATCAGTAGTGTAGTTTTGCAGTAAGTTTAAAAATCAGTAGTGTAAGCTCTTTTCCCTGGAAAGAAGAACTTTCTTCTCCCTTTAAAAGATTGTCTTGGCTATTTGAGATCCGTCAAGATTTCATATGAATTTTAGGATGAATATTTCTATACCACTGAGATTTTGATAGGGAGTGCATTGAACCTGAAGATGGCTTTGGGTAGTACTGTCATCTTAATATTAAGTCTCCAGGGTGCCTGGGTGGCTCAGTCGGTTAAACGACTGCCTTCAGCTCAGGTCATGATCCTGGAGTCCCGGGATCGAGTCCCACATCAGGCTCCCTGCTCAGCAGGGAGTCTGCTTCTCCCTCTGACCTTCCCCCTCTCATGTGCACTCTCTCTCTCTCTCTCTCATTCTCGCTCTCTCAAATAAATAAATAAATAAATAAAATCTTAAAAAAATATTAAGTCTCCAATTAATACAGTATGTCTTTCCATTTATTGATACCTTCTTTCATTTCTTTCAGCAACAATTTTTATTTTTCAGTGTACGTCTTTCACTTTCTTGACTAAATTTATTCTTAGTATTATATTCATTTTGTTGCTATTCTAAATAGAATCATTCTTTAATATCTTTTGTCCATATATAGTTTTTTCTGTTTTTTAGTTCTTTGTTCATTTTTTCTCTTAGTTTTTGATCACTTAACACGTTTGACTTATTATTTCTTCCAAGTTTTTATTTAAATTCCACTTAGTCAACATACAGTGCAATATTAGTTTCAGGAATAGAATTTAGTGATTCATCACTTACATACATCAGCCAGTGCTTATCATAAGGAGTGCACTCCTTAATCCCCATCACCTATTTCACCCATCCCCCTGCCCCTCCCCTCTGGTTACCATCACTTTGTTCTCTACAGTTAAGAGTCAGTTTCTTAGCCTTCCCCTCTTTTTTCCCCAATGTTCATTTGTTTTGTTTCTTAAATTCCACATATGAGTGAACTCTAGAAATCAGATTCTCCCACTTCCCTGGGGGTTGAGGTTGCTGGGGTTTCATTGTTTTGTTTTTTGATTTTGGACTGTTGAAGGCTATAGTAGTCCTTTGTTGTGGTACTTTTGCAAATTCTTTAAAGACTATTGTTTGTCATGTGTGATTACTGAGGTTTCTGATCCTTTAGCTCGTGTTCAGTTAATGTTTTGACAGAGATTTCCTTGAGGGGCAGGAGCTCAAATGAACAAAGAAAAACATCACCAACCAAAAAAGAAGAGAGAACAACCACTGTGCAGATTGGCTCTGTGCTGGGATACTCCTTCACCACTTAGCTGGACTTGCTCTGAGCCTAGGGATCAGCCTGAGATGAAAGCTTAAGGTTTTCTCAGGACTTTGCTGAGCATGCATCTTGCCCAGGCATGTTCACGGCTGTCTTAATTCCCCCATGCATATAGCTGTCTTGAACATCCTAATTTCAAAAACAAAAAACAAAAAAAACCCCAAAACTCACTCCAGCATCTCCCCCAGACCTTGATGGTCTATTGTATATCTCCACCCATAATCTCTTACGTCAGGCAACTTCACTTTTGTAGTTTGCCTGGTAGCTTCTATGAGCCGGGCCTGCTGCTTTTTTCTGAGTTACATAAAGTGAGTTCCTTGCACCTGTCCTTCAGGCAGCCCCCCAGATAGGTTAGAACAGATGCACACAATAATCATTATTTTACTTTAAAACATCTGTTTTTGGGGGCACCTGAGTGGCTCAGTGGTTAAGCATCTGCCTTCGGTTCAGGTCATGATCCCAGGGTCCTGGGATCGAGCACCGCATCGGGCTCCCTGCTCCACGGGAAGCCTGCTTCTCCCTCTCCCACTCCCCTTGCTTGTGTTCCCTCTCTCGCTGTGTCTCTCTCTGTCAAATAAATAAATAAAATCTTTTAAAAAAATAAAACATATGTTTTTTAAAAAGTTAATCAGTATCACAAATGGAAAACAGTATGATTTGCCAAAAACAGAAGGCAATTATAACTATAACTATAATGCAAACAAAACAATTTTTCTTGAATTCTAGCTAAACCCTGTTCCCACTAAAAGCTCCAGTCCTGAAACTTACTCTTGGTAGTTCCAGAGCTTTTAAAAACATGTCAGAGGGTCTCCTTAATACAATCAGAACAATTGGAAGGGAACCTAAAATGGGATGTCATTCAATTTTTTTTTTTTTTATTTTTTTTTCCTGGACCTTTTTCAAATCATTTCATGTTTCATGAGAGGAATGATCTCAACACATTGAGTGTTTGAGTGCAAACACTTGGTGGTTGAGTACAAAGGCTGTGGAGCAAGAATTAAATTCAAATACCAACCCTACCACTGACCAGCTGGGTGACTTTGAGTGAGTTATTGTGCTTCTCTGAGCATTCATTTCTTCTGTTATGGCCTATAAAAATCTAGCCTCACATAAAACCTGCACATGAATGTTGAGAGCAGCTTTATTCACAATAGCCCCAAACTGGAAACAACCCAGATGCCCTTCAATGGGTTGACACCCAAACTGGGGTTCATCCATAACATGAAGTACCATTTAGCAGTAAAGAGAACAAAGTATTGATGAACATAAGAAGCTGGACGAATTTCCAGAAAATTATACTGAGTGAAAAAAATAAAAACAGAGCTAGTCCCAAAAGGTTACATACTCTAGGATTCCATTTATGTAACACTCTTAAAGTGACAAAATTATAAAACTAGGGAATAGATCAGTCCCTGCCGAGGGCTTAGGGATTTGGAGGGAGGGAAAAGATGAGGGAGATGGGTGTAGATATAAAAGAGCAACACAGGAGATCCTCAGGATGACGGGAGTCTTCTGTAACTTGACTCTGGTGGTGGATGCACATTTGATAAAATACACGTAGACACACACAAAAAAATAAAAGTAAACTGCTGGGAGATCTAAGTGAGATTGGTGGACTGTAGCAATGTCAGTATCCTGGTTGTGATATTGAACTGTAGTTTTGCAAGATGCTACCATTGGAGAAAACTGAGTAAGTGGCACACAGGATCTCTCTGTGTTATTTCTTATAACTGCATGCAAATATATAATTATCTTTTTAAAAAAGATTTATTTATTTATTTGAGAGAGAGAGAGAGAACATGTATGCATGCATGTGTGCATTAGTTAGGGAAGGGGCGGAGGGAGACAGAGAATCTCAAGCAGGCTCCATGCTGAGTGCAGAGCCCTACACAGGGCTCGATCTCACAACCCTGAGATTATGACCTGAGCAGAAATCAAGAGTTATCCGCCCAACTGAATGAGCCACCCAGGTACCCTGCAAATATACAATGATCTTAAAATAAACAGTTTAATTAGAAAAATAAAAGCCTTGTAGGTTTTCTGGGAGGATCAGATGAGGTAGTATTTTGGGAAGGAAATTCATTTAACAAAAGTGTATTGAACCTCTCATTTATCCAGGCACTATGTGAATGCTAAGCTGAGAACAATAAATAAAATACACAGGGTCCATGTTCTAGTGGAAATTTTATTATACTAGAGCGCCACACAAAAGTGAGTTGTTACTTTAAAAACTTATCCTTAAAATTGGCTCAATATTGTTCACTAATTGACAAGTAGTGTTCATTGAGTACTTGGATATAATGAAAATAGACTCAGAGAGATTACAAAACTTGCCCAGGTGCCAAGTAGAGCCAGGAGCGGGATCCAGACCCAGATCTGAGCACCAGGTTGTGGCTCATCATCTCTAAACTCGTTGCCTTCAACAAAGGGGTATTGTTGTCTTTGCAGGACAACCCAGTAAAGACAGCCAAAGTGGAGTGTGGGGACTTTTACAACTCTGGAGATAGAGCAACTATGGATGAAGAGGGCTACATCTGGTTCCTGGGGAGGAACGATGACATCATCAATGCCTCTGGGTAGGTATGGCTGACCTGAGCCGGGAGGCATCACCCTCACATGCCTCATGGGATCTAGCTTGTTCTGACATTCATCCAAGCTTGGTGATGGTTAGCTCAGGCTGACTCTGAACAGAGCTCTGTCTATGGGCCCCCTTTCTGGGGATACCTGTGCACCTCCCCCAAGCCCTGCATCCAGAAAAGTCTATCAAAATGTAGTTCAAGAAGGTCTGCAAGGCGAACCATAATGAGACATTATGCAATTTAAGGGATTTGGAAGGAAGACGTTACATAGGCCCTTATTGTTGAGGAAGCTTCCTCTATGTTTGGCTCCTCTAATGGGACACAACAATCACTGAAAATTTTAATAATAGATAACAACAACATAAACCTTTATGGGGCACTTACTATGGGGATGCACACTCTGCAGTGCTTTATATAACCCAGCTCTCAGTGCTAGAAGGTAGATGCAGTTATGCCCATTTTACAGATGAAGGAACTGGGTTACTGACTAGTGAATAAAGTTCCCTAAAGTTTCAGAGTGCTGGGTACAACCCAGATTTACCAAAGCTGTCTGGCTCCAAGTCAGTTGTCCCTAAATCTTCACGTGATTTGGAAAGAAAAAAAAAAATGACACATTATACCAGAGTAACAAGTTCTCTTGGCTATTTCAGGGAAGTTGAGTGTGTTTACCTTTTAAATTTCTAAAACATGCTAATATGATGGGGAAGAGTATGCAGAATTTGCATGAATGTTTAAGATAAAGGCTGAGGCTTCTAGTAGGTTTCATGCCAAGGGAAGCTGCTTGAGCCCAGCCCCAGAGCTCGGGGAGAACTAAATATTCACCCTCCTCCCTGAGCAGAGGCAGTGAGGTGAGAAACTCTGGGGAGCATGTGAGTGTTGTATTTCTCAGCACGGAGTGCCCATTCTTCATGTTTGGGGCCCATGAGAGAGCCAGGGCACAGGTATCTGGCTTCCTGTGACAGTTATCCTATGTGACAAGGGACGAGGTGACCCTCCAAAACATGAGACTTGAGGGCTTGGGTCACCCGGCCCTGGCAGCCACTCAGAAGCCAAGAAGGAGCCCGCAGGTACCGCGTCGGGCCCGCAGAGGTGGAGAATGCCCTGGCCGAACACCCGGCTGTGGCTGAATCAGCTCTGGTGAGCAGCCTGGACCCAATTCGAAGGGAGGTGAGGAGGACACAGAGGTCATCGTGTCTGTGTGTGGGCACCAAGGCAGGTGCCGGGAAACCTTCCTCCTGGTCCTGTCTCTCCAACCTTGGACCTCGGGTGGAGGGGGGCCCCGGGGTGTGCATGTGCATTTACACTGTGTGGCCACCAGAGAGCAGTGTGGCCTCAACCATGTGGGACAGAAAATGATGCTTGTGAATGTGGCTTGCAGCTGGGGCTACTGCTGCCCGTCTCCTAATTTCTGAGCCCTTCCTACCTGCCGGCTCATTTCCCCCTCACAGCAACCTCATTAATTAAGGACTCTGAGACCCTTTTTTACAGGGAAAGAAACAAGCATAAGGAGATTAAATAAGTTGCCTGATCACAAAGCTGTCAAGTGGTGGAGCCAGAATGGGAATGTGAGCAGTCTGGCTCCAGAGCAAGCATTCATTGATTCACTGTGTGCTGAGCACCTACTCTGGACAAGGCCCTGTGCCCTGTAGACGCGACATGAATAATAGGAACGTAGTTAATCACCACCATTGATTTAATGCCCACAGAACTCTACCTATAATAATAGGGAAAATGGTGATGATAATGATAGGAATAAAAATCAGTTTAAACGAGCTTCATGGTTTATATGAATGATCTCGATGAATCTTGAGAGCCATGCCCTGAGGAATGAAGCCGTGCTGTCCCCACATCAGAGAAGGACATGGAGGCTGAGAGAGGTGAAGTAATTTTCCAAGGCAGAGAGTAGAAATTGGAAGTATGGACACTGGTCCTGTTCTTTTCCAGAGGCTCAACTGTCAACTTGTTTTTCCATTTACTTAATACACATTTACTTTTTAGACTATACACTTGGTTGCCACTCCCCCTGAGCCTCCACTCTGGTTCTGCGCTGCAGGTGGTGAAGGCATTTATTGTCCTGACTCCGGAATTCCTCTCCCATGACCGGGACCAGCTCACCAAGGAGCTACAGCAGCATGTGAAGTCAGTGCCAGCCCCGTGTAAGTACCCCAGGAAGGTGAGTGAGGGCAGAGGGATGGGGCCTGGTCCCGTCCAGTGGGCCCTGGGCTCTGCTGCCCCAAATCTCCTGGGGTGGCTGGGGTGGAGCTTACGTAGCCCATGGAATGAGCATTTTTCTCTACTGAAGAAGCATTCAACTTAGGGGTTTAGGGGAGATCCATCTTAATCATGGAAACCTCTATCCTGTGTCAGAAAACAAAAAGGCTGACAAAAAACCTACAGAAAAAAATCAGCCAAGAGCCTAGAAATATCCAAGAAGGATATTTGAAATCTTTCACAATTTGAAAAAGACATTCGGGGCACCTGGGTGGCTCAGTCGTTAAGCGTCTGCCTTCGGCTCGGGTCACGATCTCAGGGTCCTGGGATCGAGCCCCTCATCGGGCTCCCTGCTCGGCGGGAAGCCTGCTTCTCCCTCTCCCACTCCCCCTGCTTGTGTTCCCTCTCTCGTTGTGTCTCTCTCTGTCAAATAAATAAAAAGAAAATCTTGAAAAAAAGAAAAAAAGAAAAAGACATTCAAGTCAACAACTGCCACACTTTTAAAAAACATTATTTGTAGTAAGAAATATATTCTAAATTGAAGCCCAATACATATATAGATACATAACAAACAAAAGGTAACAAAATAATATTTATTGTAGCATAAAATACATTCTGAGAGATTTTTTTTCTACCTCGTTTTCAGTGCCATGTGAGAACTATGAAAATGTCCAACAATAGAGAAATGATTAAATTATTCGTGGTAATTAATGCTGTCCTATAATTTAAAAAGATGATGCAGATCTCTTATTTGTAACATAAAAAACATCACAAAAATATATTATTAAGAGACAAAAGCAGGCTGTGAATAAATATACATGTTATCTGACTTGTTGAAAAACCACGTTTGCAAGGATACATGGGTCAAAAATTTAACGTGTCTTTCTTTTGTAATAATACATTGCTGTGCTTTCTGAGTGTTTACCCAAAGCTAGATAGCTAATATTTATTGAACATGTGTGCCGGGCGCTGGACTCAAAGCTCTACATGTGTTATTTCATATAATCCCCCCAAACCTGAGATGGTATAACCATCCATTTGACAGAATGGAAACGGGAGAGGCTCAGAGACTCACAGTAAATTGCCTGAGGTTGGAGTGAAGAAAAGGGCAGAGCTGAACTCAAACCCAGTGTATCTGAAAACGGAGTTCGTCCTTCACATGTAAGGCTCTGCCGCCTCCTAGAGAGTAGACTGGAGGATGCAGGCCAGTTAGGATGGGCTGATGTTCCTGTGAGGAACTAGTAGCCCCTGTCTTAGTGGCTCCTACTAGGGAAGTATCTTTCTTGCTCCGGCCACATGTCCGCATGGTCTTCCTGGGACCAGGATAAAGGAGCACCCACCATAGGTAACTGCCAGGTGCTAGAAGAGATGGACAGAGTGGATGCCAGACCAGTGGTCTCAAGTGTTCTGTTCGAGGTGGCACGCCTCACTCCCACTCACATCTCACTGGTCAGAGCACATCACAGGGCTGCATCCAACTTCCCGGGTCAGGGGACACCCTGACATGCCTTGGTGGAGCCTACTGGGGCCACCACAGGGTGCCAGCCCGTCTGGGGGACTGTGCAGGGGCAGAGGAGGAGCCTGGGGCATTGGTAAGAAATGACAGCAGGACTAAGTTGGGATGGGTTTGCTTTATCCTTGACCAGATGGAATTTGTCTCAGAGCTGCCCGAAACCGTCACTGGCAAGATTAAAAGAAGTGACCTTCGGAAAAAGGAGTTTGGTCAGATGTAATCAGCAAAACCCTCAGAAACCACTGTGTCTTCTTTGCCAAATCCCTGGCTGCCTCAGTTTCCTCACTATGGGGAGGGTGAGGAGGGGAGTGTTGGACATTGATTTTAAGAGCATCAGGAGTGCTCACATTGCAGCATTTTTGTTCTTTTAAATTACTATCCATTACTCTCCTGCTTCCAAGTCCCCGAGTGAGCGCCCAGGATGTAGCTGGGGTAATAAAGGGACATGAGCATCCAAGGGGACTTGTGTTGTGCTTTGATTCTGTGAATGAACCAGAGCTAAATGCGGTCCCTCCATGATTCTCCCCAAGCCCCATTGGAGAGGACTCTGGGGCCAGATTCTCCCCCCTGGTTCCAGGGGCCCTGGGTGACTCCTGTTGTCTGTTCAACAACCACAACACAGAGGTCTGGGGAGGGACCCTTCCTTGGCCCCAGGTGTCCACCTCTGCCTGGCTTGCCCATGCCCTGCTGGAGGGTGAGGTCAGGGCCAAGCTAGTGAGGTGGCTGGGGAAGGGGGAAGGCACCGAGGGCAGCCCAGCCTGGTGGTTCCACCTGCCTGCCAGACCATTCCTCACCGCTCCATCCAGCATGCCATGGACCCGCTGCCTCTGTATGGTGCTGCTTCCAGGTCCCAGCCTGCACCAGCTTAGGTGTGGGAGGGATCTGCCCTGTGGGGACCCAGGAAACCTGCAAGACTCCTCCAGCCCTTTCCGGGGTGCCCAATCCCCCATGCCTTCCATGGAGCCCAGGAGCTCCGTTCCCCAGCCCTCCGTAGGGCCCCCCAATCACTCACCCTTCCCCAGGGCCCAGGAATCCCTCAGCCTCCCCAGGGGCCCGGAGCTCTCCCCACACTTTATGAGGTCCTCCTGCCATCTGTAGCCCGAGAGATGATGTGTGCAAAGGGCAGGGCTTAGCACAGGCCTGAAACAGGAGGGACCTCTGGTTGTCACCAGTGTTGCTTTGAACAGCTGTGAGACGTGAGGCACCGGATCTGGGAAGGCACTTGCCCCATGGAGATGATGATGCTAATGTCCACAGGTGCTCAGCACGGGGCTTCCTCTTGTCCTCAGCACAGTTATGGACACAGGCTTGGACGCCCCAGCTCCCTGAAGGAAAGCAGCCCAGGGTCACAGAGCTGGTAAGCAGCACAGCTGGATCTCACACTCTAGGCTCCCGGCCCTGTTTCCAGGGGCCACGAAGGGCTTCGTAGACAGGAGGCTGACACTGGCTTTGGGGACACTTCCTCACCTCCACGAGTGATCTCACCTGTTCGAGGCCCCCAAACTCTGTTCACTGCTTCTTCTTCCCTGCTCCCTGTTCCAGTTATAATCAGGGTGACCCCGGCCATCCTTCCTGGAATTCCCTAGTCCCCCTTATAGGCTGGGCCTATATATATATAGTCTGACTCCACCCCTTCTGTAGCTGGTCTCTCCTTCTATAACCAGGACCACCCGACTCTGGGGCTCTGGAGGCGGGCAGCAGCTTCTAAACAGAATTTAATACAAATGTTTTGCTATCCTTGTTTTGTTTTTGTTTGCGTGTCTTTTATGGCTTCTTTATATTTTATGGCTAATTATATAAATATATTTATATTTATGTTAAAGATACTGCGTTCCTATTTTAGCAGTGCTGAAATGGTTCCTGTTTACAAGAAATTTACACAGTAAGTGGTGGTTTGTAGAGCATTGATTTTCAGCTGCCTTGGGCCTGAATGAGTTGGGATTAACTCACAATTAGATAACACTAATTGTGTTAGTCCTAGAGAGAAACAGTTTAGGAGGTTCGGCTCAGGACAGGGCCCAAGAGAGATGATCACAGGGGGTTTGTCCAGTCACCTGGGTCCCTGGCCCTGCCCACCTGCTTGGCTCTCCCCGTCCAGCACACCTGGGGCTGCCAGCTCTCTGGGTGTTGTCTTGGATCCCCCAGGAGAGAAGCTGGTGAATGTTTTCTCTTAAAATGCTCTCATTCCTGGAGGTCCCAAGAGATCCCATGAGAGTCAGCTTGGATTGTTTCCCCTGTGAGGTTCATATCGTAAAGCCCAAGCTAGTGGGTAGCAGGGTCACATAGATAAGCGACAGATCTACCGCTGTTGGAGGTGTTCAAATGTCTCCGTCAATTAGGGATGATTTTGAGGCCATTCGGTCTTCTCATACTAATATCCCAGGATATACCAGCCCAGAAGACATATCTGATTACAATTTTGTCATGCTTATTTCATTCGGTTCCAATGTAGCTTTTTCTTTGGGATTTCTTTACTCCTATTTTATTTGTAGAGGTACTTCTCAATTTCTAAACATATGGGAATTTCTAGTGAGCTTTTTATCCATGATTTCTAGCACATTATATTACCACAACATGCTCTGTGTGATTTCATGCCTCTGAAACATATTGAAATGTCCCTTATGACCAAAATAGATCGGGTGCATTTTTGTAAGTGTATCCTATATGCCTAAAGTTAATGTGTCCTCCACAGTGGTCTATGGATGTGGACAGACATACGGAGATAGCTGTGGGATTCAGATGGTTTGCTCTCAAGGTCTACATGTTATGGATGTTCTGTCTGCTTTGAGTCACTGAGAGAGGGTTGAAACCTCCCACTCTGCTTGTGTATTTGCTTGTTGTTGCAGTTCTGTCCTCCTTTGCTTTATATGTTGTTCAGCCAATGGCTCTAGGATGGGAGTTCTGGAAGGAAGGAGATAGCGCCCAGAAGAGGGCAACAGGGACCTGGGTTGGGAGGCAGCAGAAACAAGAAGGATGGCCAAAGTTCCAGAGAGGACCTGTTATTGGGATGGCACGTGGTGGGGCGCCAGTTGGGAAGGGGCTCTTTAAATATGAGGTCACGCGGGGTGCCCATTATGACCTACCAGGGGCAAAGGCAGATGATTGGCTGAGAGAGAGTATAAAGCCTCTGGGTTGCTAAGGAATGGTTCAACCAGGGGAAGGCTTGGAGAAAAGTGTATCCTCCTCCAATCCCTTCACCTGCTACTGTTTCCTGCTGACCTAGTGATTTACTAACCTGCTGACCTACTACCCTTTCTGAACCTCCCCTCGAGTACTTACTCTGACCCTGACACCGTCGCTGACCCCTTCTTCTCCTGACAAACGCCTTCCCCAATCCCACCCTTTATTTCTACCCTGCTCCCAACCCTCATTAAAACCCTATCCCCTTCCCACCCCTTCCCACCCCTCCCTACCCCACCCACCCCTACCTCCACTCCACCCCCCATCTCCACCTCCTCCCTGACGCCCCAGCACCCCTTGAAAGGACCAAGACATGAAGGTGCAGAGGCTGTTGTTCCTGGTGCTCTTGCTGCGGTGTCCCGGTTCCCCAAACCCAAATGTGAGTAAACATGGCACTTCACTGGCATCTTCACAGGTGTGGGGGGAAGGGCAGAGGGGGAGGGAGAGAGAGAATCCCAAGCCAGCTGTGCAGTGAGTCCAGAGCCTGAAGAGGGGCTCATCCTCAGGACCATGAGACCATGACTTGATCCAAACCAAGACGTCGTCACTGAACGGCCTGAGCCCCCCGGTGACTCAAAGCTGCTAGTGGTGTCTTCATTCCTACTGGGTTCTTTCACATGGTGGTCAAATAATAGTTTTTTCATGGGGTTGTTGGTGAGAACTTCAGAAGAACTGCAGTTCTTCCTGAAGACCGAGGACCACAGGGCAGGTTTCTCGGTCAGCCTGAAGGGGCTGTGGCCACAGCCGTCCACATCAAGTTCTGGGTCCTGTCTGTGCTGCTTGGTCCAAAAAGAGCAGCTCTGGCAGGATGGAAACCTGCAAATACTAGGGTAATGGTGGCAAGAAGGAAGGATTTGAGAAGATATGAAAAGCCATTGAGCTCTTTGTCTTAAATAGGGGGCTTGTATGATATGTACATTATATCTCATTAAAATTGTCTTTTAAAATGTCGGGAATGCTAATTTATAGGAGCTACGGGCATTAGACTGGCTCCTGGAAGCCCAGTGAAGATCCTGCTTCAAGCCTTGTATGTTTAGGGTCCATCTTCTACATTGATTTCATGTCAGCACATTGTTCATATTTGTGAAGTTTGGCAGCCCTGGGAACAGTGGTATCTTAAGCATTGGTGTTGGGTCTTGAGTGTTAAACAGTGAAATGTCCTTTGTGCTCTGTGCTTCCTGGTTGGTTGACTTGTAACAACTTCGGAGTCAGCCCTTTCCTCCTGGCCTTGGAGGCTGTCCCCAGGGACTCTGTGTCCCACCAGGTCCGTGGGAGCCCTGAGAAGCCCAGCAGACACTAAGTGACCGCATCTCGCTGGGACGTTTGTCACAGGAAAATCTGATGGATTGATGTAATCAGGAAGTGAATGAGTTGTTACCCTTTCTTTGGCCCAGTGTGTACAGAGTGTTGATTTCCCCAAAGTCAAAAGCTCCTGAATGTCCTTAGGATTGTCCAAATATAAAGAAATACCTGGTTCCTAGTGTGACTATTTCACTCCTTAAAAAAGAAAACCCTTACCCTCAGGAGAGAGAGACAGACAGGGAACACTCTAGAAATAAGCAGACTTCTTTAGATCGGCCTACACCAGATTCTTAGAGAGGGATTTGCAAAGTGGGAGTAGTCAGGAAGGACCCTAGTGTTGAGGCAGAATCATCCCACATGAATACCTCCAGTCAAAATAGACTCGATTCTGTTTCTTTTGAGTCTTCAATGGAGGGAATTTCTTCGTAGTCTTTATTGGAAATATTCCCCTCTGCCTAGGCTGCATCTCATAGAGCACTTCGCCTTTCTCACCCTCCCTCATCTCTGAGCTCTTGCATAAACTACCTGGTCTCGCATTTCCCTCCTCCACCTGCTCATGGCCATTGTCTGTTAGAACCTAGTGTTATTGGCCCCATTGGATGTCATCTAGTTAAGAGTCAGCTACTGGTCAGCATCCAGACAGCTGCTAGATGTACCACGTGGCCACAACTGGGGGTGTTTTCCATTTGTGACAAGATGGCCTCTGTCTTTTGTGCATTTGATCCCCATGATCAACCATTGAGCAGATAGCTAATGTTCTCTTTCAGACAGCGGCTGTTCCAAGACCGTGTATGTTTCCCACCAGCACACATGTTTGTGACCTCAGCTGTGAGGGTTGAGGATGAAAATGTTATAGATTTCAGGGGTACTTTCTAGAGAGTTGTGTTTGCACAAAATTCAAGCTTGGTGTGAATTAGTAGGAATTGCATTGTGAGCGTCTTGTCTCCTAAAATACTTGGAACTCCAGTTTTTGTAAAATGAGATGTGTTCTTTGTTTTGGTGTCCATATCCAGGAATTTTGTATTCTTTTAGAAATGAAATTTCATGGTCACCTGGGTGGCTCAGTCAGTTGAGCTTCTGCCTTAGCCTTGGGTCATGATCCCAGGGTCCTGGGATTGAGCCCTGCTTGGGCTCCCTGCTCAGCCGGCAGTCTTCTTTTCTGTCTCCCTCTACCCCTTCCCCTGCTCATGCTCTCTCTCTCTTTCACATAAGTAAATAAAATCTTTTTAAAAATCAAATTTTAGAGTTGCTCTTGACTGATTTAGTTACAATACTGAGAAATAGGAACATGAATGCCTTTCATTGGCTTTTGGAGATAGGTGTTCAAGTAATTTAAAATGTCACAGATACCATCAAAATAAACAAGATCACCTGATTATGAAAATCTTTATGTACCCCTGAAATCTGACATTTTGGGCTGTGATTCTGAAGCAAAGTGGGCATTGAAAGAAAACATCACTGTTTTCAGAAACTAAACAGTAATTCGAATTTATTTTTGTTGAAATAATAATCCCATATTCTTCTAATAGAAGCCTCCTGTCTCTCTCTCACTCATGTCCTGATCTATAAACATCTGTCCATAGAACATTCTCATTTATATCTCTAGTACATTTTTTAGTCTTGCTTTTTCTCATTCTTCCATAAATTTTGGGCCTATTTTTGGAAAGGTTCCAGAGGAGTTTATCCAGGTCCTTCATGGATGTACAATAGAAGTCAGTGACTTCTTACCTACTGTAAGTTTACATTTACTTATCTTGTCTATTTTATGTTGGCTTATAAATTCTTAAGTTCTGTTAGCTATAGAAAATTTATTTGCCATGTGTTTGTAGGCAAAATAAAATCTCTTAAGATTTGTCTATTAGATTTTTCCTACAGCTTCAGTGTTATATAATGTATATATGATCACAACATCTTTTTCAAGAATACAGTTTGTTGATAGTTGACATAGGTAAACACAGGGAAACCCATCAGCACAGTACGATAGTAAACACACTCATCACTCCCAAAAGTTTGCCCCTGTTCCTTTGTAATCCCTCTGTGCTCCTTCTCCTCCATGGGGAGGCAGTTGAGAGGTGTGCTTACCTGGGGGAGGCTGGTGGAGGGTTTGTAAAGTTGATTGTTTGGGACAGAGACATTGTAAATCTTTGAGATTCCTCATTGTCTCACGTGTTATTTCAGCTTGTCCATGTTGTGCCTGACCGTTTCCTTCTTGGCCCTGATGGGGTTGGAGTTCTATGGAAACTTCCCATTATCACTGCCCCCTTGGGAGTTTGTGTCTTTCTCATTTATATCTGGAGAACCATCCTCGCTGTAAGTATACTAAAGTAGCTTATATATACTGTTCTTCATAAATGAGCAGAAAATTTTATAGTTATTGGACCTTTTATATCCATTCAGTAATAGAAATATCCCTCTAATACATCAATTTTGATGATCACCTAGATTGAAATAGATTTAAATTTGTGTTGCAGTGCCTTCTGTGATCCATATGTTCTTTTTTTTTTTTTTTTAAGTTCAAGCATAATTGGCCAACAGTGTAGTATTAGTTTCAGGTGTACAACATGATTCAGCAATTCTATACATTTCTCAGTGCTCATCACAATAAGTGTACTCTTAATCCCCTTCACCTCTTTCATCCATCCCTCCACCCACCTGCCCTCCAACCCATGTGTTCTTTAGAAGTGTGTTGTTTAATCTCCATTTTTTGGTCATTCTCTAGCTATCTTTCAGTACTTGGTGTCTAGTTTGAGTCATTTGTGGTCTGAGAACATACGTCCTGTGATTTCTTTTCCTTTGGTCGTTCAGATGTATCTTATGGCCCAGAATATGGCCTCTCTTAGTGAATGTTCCATGGGAACTTGAGAAGAATGTCTTTAGTTTGGTTGTTGAATGGATTATTCTGCAGATGTTAATGGATCCAGTTGATTGGTGATGCTTTTCAGTTCACCTGTATTCTCATGGAATTTCTGTATCTGTTGGATCTGTCAATGACTGATAGAGGGTTCTGAATTCCCCAGCTATAATAGGGATTCATCTGTTTCCATCAGCAATTCTTTCAGTTTCTGCCTGATGTACTTCGACACTCTGTTGTTAATGCATGTACATGAGAAATTATTATGTCTTTTGGAGGATTGACACCTTTACCGTTGAAGTAATGCCCATCATTATCCCCGACGGTTTTCCTTACTCTGTAGTGTGTTTTGAAGGATCATTTCACTGGCCACAGGTTTCTCGTTGGATGTTTCTGTTAACACTTTAAACATTTCATCCTTCTTGATGGCAAGGTTTCGGAAGTGTGATGTAGTCCTTATCCTTATTCCTCTTGGGTAAGGGTTACTGCTCTCCTTCCCCCTTCCACCACCCACACCCAAGCCCTGCTCCAGATTTCCAGACTTGTTTCTTTGTCTTTAATCACCTGTGACTGAACATTCTGGATTAGGCATCATTGGCGTTAGTTGTTGGTGTGTTTGTTTTGGTATTTATCCTGCTTTCCTTGTTTTGAGCTTCCTGGATCTGTGGTTTGGTGGCTATATTAATTTAGGAAAATCCTCAGTCATTATTGCTTCAACTACCTCTCTGTCCATTCTCCTGCTGCTCCTATTCTGTGTGTGTTACACGATTTGTAATTGTCCCACTGGTCTTGGATTTTCTGTGCTGTCTTTTTAATATTTGTCTTTGTTTTTCTTTTGGGAAGTTTCTACCGGAAATTCTTTAGGCACAATGATTCTTTCCTCTGGTATGTTGAGTCTCTTAATGAACCCATCAAAGGCATTCTTGATTTCTGTTATGGTATTGTCCAGAATCCCGGTAAAATCTTAGAGTTTCATATCTCTGCTTACATTCATCACCTCTTCTTCCTACTGCCCCCTTTTTGCTTAGATCCAATATCAGGTATGGAAGGGACTTGAAATTCCCAACCTGCCAATGCCATCATCTCTGCCTTAGATGCCTTAGGTAGTGTGATTCTAGTGCTTGCTGTCGTGGTTTTTACCCTTAGTATGCCTTGTACGGTTGTGTTGAAAGCTAGATCTCCTGTTCTGGTAAAGGAACTGAGGTAAATAGGATGTGAGGGTGAGGTTGTCTACTCATCTGTCTGGGGTTAGACTGAGTTTACTCCCAGGTGAGACAGGGAGGCGATTGCATTGGAGTTGAGACTTTCCCCCTCACCTCTATTGCGTAGTCTTTGGGAAAGGCCCAGTTAGGCTCTGGGGACATAGTTTCACTTGAAGGCAGACCTTTCTAAGAAGAACAGAAAACTTCTGAGTTTATTTCTAAATGGAATCTCCCCCCTCTCCCTGCCAATGGAGAAACCTTCCCTTCAAAAGGAACACAAGTATGTGCTATGGTGAGCGCTGTGAATTGGGCAAGACTGTTGAATCACAGATCTGTACCTCTGAAACAAATAATGCAATATATGTTAAGAAAAAAAGAAGAAGAAGATAGCAGGAGGGGAAGAATGAAGGGGGGGGGAATCGGAGGGGGAGATGAACCATGAGAGATGATGATGGACTCTGAAAAACAAACTGAGGGTTCTAGGGGGGAGGGGTGTGGGAGGATGGGTTAGCCAGGTGATGGGTTAAAGAGGGCACGTTCTGCATGGAGCACTGGGTGTTATGCAGAATGAGTCATAGGTCACTACATCAAAAACTAATGATGTAATGTATGGTGATTAACATAACAATAAAAAATTTTTAAAAAAAGGAAAACAAAACTATGACGTCTTTGGTGTGCTCATCTGTCTCTTCACTTCCCCTTCCTGTGGGGCTCGGTGACAAGGGCCAGAGCAACTCAGAGATTCCTAAGCAACATGTGAAGTTACAGGAATCACCATGGTTTTCTGTTTGCCCTCCACTGATGGACTTTCCTCTAACAACGTTATTATGACTGGCTTGTTGATAGCATGGTGATATTCCAATATCCTGGCAAGATTTGGGGGCGGGCCTCAGCCTCTCCTCATCCTGTAAAACTTTTGAATGGGGAAATATGTTAATGGTGTCAAAATGGGGTCTTGCCTAGAGTTTACTAAGCTATAATTTATCAGGGTGACTCGATCTGGATAGCCCGGTTCCCCTCTTTTGAAACATCCGCTGTCATTTCTCTTGTTGCTTATGCTTCGTCTCTCGCCACGTGCCACTCTTTTTCTCATTCGATGGCTTTTCTGTCTTTTTGATGACCCTCTGTAGCAGTCTGGGAAACTTCATAGCACCTGATGTGCCATAACTGTGTGTGAATTCAGCAAACAGCCAACCCTTAGTAATAGTTCAGAGAAGCTTTCTGGACAAGGAAAACGGCATAATTTTGTCAGAGCTTTGCTCACCTGCCAGCCTTCCTTCCTACATTCCTTCCTCCCTTCCTTCCATTTTCTTTCTTTCAGGATCTTATAATAATCCGTTTCTGAACTCAGTGTGCATATCGGGTTGCATTAAAGTTACGGAAATGATGAATTAATGAATATTTTTTTAAATGTCTGCATGGTCCGCTGTCAAGAATTGAACAGGTTGAACGTTCATTTCACAGTATGTGAATAGATTTTGGGGTCAAAACTAAGTTATATACCTTTGTGCTCCTTATCAGAAATGGATTGTGAACTATGATGACTTAATCAGGAAATTCCAATTTTGTCTTCTTTTTTAATCCTGTGAAGTCATTCTGCTATACAAAATGATGATTGTAATTTTCTTGGATGACTGTTTCGGTATTGACCTGAACTAGAGATTTTTCCTAGTAGTACGTTTTGACATCAAACTTCATTTTGTTTCTTCCTCTCTTAGATAAAGCCTCGGCGATATGAAGGTAAGTTTTTTGGCTTTAGTTTTCATTGTCGTAAATTCTCAGTACCGGTGTTTGATGTGGGTATAATTCGACTAGGGGTAAATATGGTGACTTCTGATGTCTAAGTGACTTGTTAACTCCTGAAAATCATTCTCTTTCCCATGTGGAGTCTAAGTGACAATGTGGAGGGTGTTGCCATCTCTTAGGAGACCAGGAGGAGGTATACCTCATGGGAGTAGGGAGAATAGAAAGAGTAATTTTGCAGAGACATGTTTAGGAGGCATGCGATGATAGGAGCCTGAGGTCTGGAGTGAGTACTATGCCATGACCTGGCTCTTGGCGAAATGTCAAGATGAGAAAACACTCTTTGAGTCTAACAAGCAGGCTACACTTAGAGAAGGAGCCACATATTGCCAGACAGAGCGTGTGTCACAAGAGAGGTTTAAACCATGGTTTTGAGTCTGAAGTGGAGGGAGCCTTTCCTGCCAGGGGAGAATGAGTGGAAAGGAACGTGTGCCAGTGGGGCTGATGTATCGTGTCGGGCCTCATGGATTGTGATGATTCCACGGTGCTGTCTGTTGACGGCCAGGGTGGCTGCCTGGCACATAGCAAACCCTCGAATGCTGGTGTTCGTCCCTGTGAGTGCAGCAGTGGGCGTGGTGAGAAGAGAGATCTCAGGGCAGGAGAGCGCTCACATTGGGCCACTAGAAGAGAAGTTTGCACTTTGAGGTAAGATGAGAGAATTATTATTTTTTAAAAGATTCTGTTTATTCATCTGACAGAGAGAGCACAAGCAGACCGAGTGGCTGGCAGAGGGAGGGGGAGAAGCATGCACCCCACTGAGTGCAGACCCAGATGTGGGACCCCAGGGCCCAGAGTGGAATCATGACCCGATGTGGGATCGTGACCCAAGCTGAAGGCAGACACTTAACCGACTGAGCCACGCAGGTACCCCAAGATGAGAGAATTAGGAGCCAGTTAGAGGAGTCTGTGTTCTCGACCTTCGATGTGTTATCCATCTGTGATAGGGCGCTTCATGAGTGTGGTTTTCCTGTCAGGGTAGAGGGTAACCTTCTCATGTTGGGATGAGAAAAGCTTGTGTTCCAGGGAGTGTGAGTTATCCAGGCCCTCCAGAGACTGTAATGTGGAGTTTGTACCCGAGTGTGTTTGATTCCAAAGGTCTTGTCCTCCAGAGCCCCTGCCTAGGGTTCATGACAGGCAATCTGTGAGCAGCAGAAAGTCACTGAAGGCCTTGGAGTTGTCACTCAATTGCCATTTTGAGCTTTCCTTGTGTGGAATTCCAAGGAGGATCTGGAAACGGACATGGCGCTGAGCAGGAGCAAAGGATGGTTTTGTTCATTTTGGGTTGTTGGCAGGGACCTATTTTTGTACCTTAATCATTGGAGGAGAGAAATGTTAGTTGACAGGATGCTTGATTTTTCTGTTACATATCTGGGGATGACATCAGCATTTGCAGTGATTGCATTTTCCAAGACTGGTGCTTACAGATGGGAGTAAACGTAGAAGACATTTGAGGGCGTTTCTCTATCTTTGAAAAAAATTTAAGTAGGAATCTCCCCAAAATAGGTTGTCTTGGGTTTCAAATGCTGCTAAAACTTGCTTCCTTAGGGCACAATGGGAATGCTAACAAGTTAGTTACACCCGAGTGTCAGAGAATGTGTCTCTGGTGCTCATACACTGGGATTATTCAATGTCACTCGTTTTGCTAATTATCTTTGCGATTCTTTTTTCTCCTTTTAGTAACCTTACAACAAATAAATGAGAAGATCCATCGACTTAGGACAGAAAACAGGGAGCTTGCTCAGGAAATATCCCTTTGGGAGCTGAAGGTATCAGTGCCTTTTCAAATACTTTTTGTGATTTCATTTTGGTTACTTCCACCTCTTGTAGTTCATCCTATTGACCTATTTCATGTGATCCAGAAATGGTCCTGATTCAAGAGAAGCTTCACGAATGTAGAGCACTGCCTCTCTATTTTGAAAGGAGTCACACATTAGTAGATAGGTTTGTGTAACACGATGCTATTTTGGAATTCTGTTTCCTTTTTTCATATGTTTTATAGATCCGGGAAGGCAAGAAGCATGTTGCAGAAACTAAGAGTGAACATAAGTTTCTCTCTGAGGAAGTTCTTAAATTGAAGGTAAGAATCCCTTCTTTGCCTGAATTGTGTCCTAACAACAGAAATAAAAGTAATGAATTATCATCATTATCATTATCACTATTATTATTTTAAACATTGATTGATTGATTTGAGAGAGAGAGAAAGAGTGAGTGGTAGGGGACAGAAGGAGAGAGAGAATCCCAAGCTGACTCCATGCTGAGTGTGTAGCCTGATACAGGGGTCCATCCCAGAACCCTGAGATCAGGCCTTGAGCCAAAACGAAAGCAGGAGTCAGACACTCCACCGACTGTGCCACCCAGATGCCACCCAGGTGCCCCAAGGAATGAATTATTATTACTCATTCAAAATGTTTTGTTGAAGGAGAACATCGAAAAGGTTGACGAAGTTAATGAAAATTTAAATGACACCCTTCGTTGGGCACTGGCTCACTTGCAAATTGAGAGAGAGAAGAAGGTCAAGAATCAGGATGTGGTAAGAGCTGGCTGTTGAGTTTTACCTTAATGTGGCCCCGGCAGGCTTTTGGTTCACTGGGTGAGATGAGTGCAGCATCCTCGCTTGCTGTTTAGCACAGTAGAGAGTGGGCCTCTGGGAACTGAAACTCCTACGGAGCAGTGAGCTGGGATTTCACTTAGAACCACCGTGATGGGGTTTGCTCTTATAAGGACTAGGAAGTATGGTTGATTTCACAGCGAGGTAATGATCACATCATTCAGCCCTGCCCTCCAAGATATGTAGAAAATCCCCACAAGACACTTGAGCGATGAAGGGCGATGGCTGACCCAACTGTGCAGTCCCTTCGTCTCTTAATGCCAAACAGAGCATTTTCAATGTGAATAGGGGAAGATGTGTATATATGTATGTATGTGGATATATATATGAAGGAAAGCCACTAAGAAAGTCATTTGTGAGTTCTTTGACGTGAACTATTTTCCACTTTGCTTACTTCCTCCTTGTTCCATTATGCCTTAAGGGCTTTCTTTGTTGCACTGCATGATCCTGTGCAGGAGGAGGGTGTCAGACACCCTCACGTTGTTCTGTGATCATGATTTCCTGAATGTCTTTTCTCATATCTGTCTTGAAGGCCCAAGATGCATTCGAGGATGGAGAGCAGAGAGCCTTTAGGGCCAAAAAACGAGAACTGCAGGGTATGTTCTTTTGGGGGAAGAAATCCGCATATGGTGGCAATGAGCTTGCATTGGGAAGGGAAGGAATGCCTTCCTGCCTTCAAGGTCTTGCCCTTCTCCTTTCCCTATCAAACCGAAGTTCTCCGGTCATGTGCACATACACACACAAAAGAAAACTCATCCTTTCCAGAATGTCGACGATTGTTGGAAGACCATTGCAATGCCCTGAGTTCTTTGAAAACAACTCAAGAAGCCGAACTGAAAATGCTGAGGAGGAAAGTGGATATCGTGGTGGATTTCTCTAAACAAAGACAAGCGGCTGCCGAAGAGTAAGCTATTCTTGTGTGAATTGTCACCAATACTATTGTATGAATTTAGGTGACGGCCAGTCTAGATAAGTGTATTTCTTTTAGAATTGGATCTAGAGTATTTTTGCCAAATGCATTCTGTAGAATTGTGCCTGCCCTTGCTGCCTTGATGTGTGTGACCTGCATTTCCCTTTGTGTTCTGACTGCTTGTCACGCTTGTTGTGTGACTCCTTGGAGTAGAAGAGGGAAGGTACCCTCCTTAAAACCTTTGATACCTGGATCCCCTCTGGGTCTGTCTGCATTGTCCTTTTGGTTTCCGTGTCATCACATGTTCTTATTAGCCCTGAATTCAGTCACTTTTGGTTCAGTACGAGCCTTGGGTCAATAATGGGGATAGAAAAATGGAATTGTCTTGCTGCGGAAACACTGGGAGTCTCCTTGTGGAAAGTGGGTTGGGGCTCCAGCAGTCCTGGATGCCTTCATCCAGTATACAACTGACATCACTCACTGTCGCCCAGTCCCTAAGAAGGCCAGGGTATTTCCCATCCACCGGATTTTTTTAGGTGTAACTCTCCTGGGTCCCAGCCAAAGCCTGCGGGTTCACTAGGGCTCACCTTGGCTGGCTGACCCTGAACTTCACTCGTTTCCTTCTAAGCCCATGCCCATAAAGTTGTTCAGCTTCTTTACAGTTCACTTGCCTGTTCCAGAATGTATTGATGTGTCCTGGGGAGATTGGCTCCCACTGCCAGGCTGGCTTTCTCCTAGGCTTCCTTCTTCTCCATCTGGTTCTCGTGTTTCTTCATGTACTCTTTAGAAATTGGGTGCATTCCCTCACGAGTTTGCTCTTTTGTCCAGTGTTTCCTTTCTTTTCTCAGGAGGAGATCAGGACCTTAGAGTCCCTCATTCACGTTGAAAAGCAAAACTGTTCCCTGTCTTCCCTGGAGACTCAGCTTTGTGTTATTCCTTCCCACAGCGGGGATGGGGGCTGCTCTGTGTCACTGGCATCTTGGTTCAGTTCATTGGAAATTTCTTTTGGGGGTGGGTACAGTGTCCTGACCACCTTTCTGTCTTCTACACCTTCCAACTGAGCCACTCCATTACAGCCGCTCCAGAAAGCATTTGCTGAAGGATTGCCTGAGAGACCAGAAGCAAATGCATGTGTCTTTCTCTGTCGGGAGCTTTTGACTCAGTTTCTAAGAGTCTTTTGGCATGTGATCTTGAGGAAATGAGGTGTCCTCTTGAAACCCTTTAAATCAACACCATGAGCAAAAGAGTCTGAGGGCAGCACAGCAAAGCAGCCTTTTTAAGCATCGCACGTTGCTGCCTTCACTATCAGTGAACTCAGTCTTGTTAAAGTCGGTTGACTCCATGCAATTGATAGTTTTCCATCTGAAATCTGTTGCGTGGAGATAACACACTCGCTATGTGACAGTTCACAGCCTTTTGCGCTTCAGGACATATTGCTGGTACTAAGATTGGCCTCTTCAAAGGAGGAGGCAGGGGTTGTAGTTGTAGACCCAGAGATGTCTGGGAGTGAGTTGCCATGCTGATGAAGCCATATTCTGGAAGGCTTCCTTTTGGGTTCATTTTGTCAGGCACAGCCTTGGTCTGAGGATCAGGGCTCCCCATGGAGGTGTACGACTAACGATGGTCCCCTGCTTCATCCTATAGTTGGTCAGGCTTGGTTTTTCACTTTGAACTGAAAGGAGCCTTCACCGTCTCCGACAAAAGACCAACTCTGAGAGGACACAAGCTGCAATGTTACTTGAGGAGTTGATAATGAAGTAGAGAAGTGTAAAGACAGCTCCGATTGCAAGGGACTTGGCAGCATCCAGAGTTTGATTTTTCTTTAACCCTAAATGGGACCTTCAGTTCATTTCCCTCCTTGTGTTGTCAGTCTGTGCATTTATGAGGGACATTGGAATCTAGGCCATCCAGTGTGCTGGGAGGAATGACGGCAGAACTTCTGGACCTTGGCTACTGGACCATGTCTATACCTTTCCTGTCTTAGGAAGGTTGCAAAGACCCGCTGTGACCTGGAGGCAACAGAGAGTCAGCTGTCCGCTGCCATGGAAAATCTGAAAGGAATCACAGAAGCAACGGACAAGTACAAGTGAGTTCAGACACTGAATATTAGCGGCTCCTGAAATCCCTGTTCACTTTGTATTTTTAACTTTTCTTCATTGTTTAGACTCAATTCACATGTAATATAAACAAAAATTCAGAGGCATATCCGGAGAGAATTAACAGACACAAAAAGTTAAGCTCTAGAAAGAACAAAGCAATTTCATTACTAAACATGTCCTGATCCCCAGCGCTGGCCTGATTCTGTGGAACCTTCTTCCACGCCATCGTCCCTGGGGGTGGTGTCAGTTGTCCTAATCTGGAGGAAAGCAGTTTGTCGTAGGATGCATCCTACCCATAAGCCCGGCAGGGCCATCTGATGGCGCTGGTCTTTGCCGCCCTGGGAGCCATGGCGAGGATAGAAGTTGCCCAGCACACTTGATGGCACCCTTGTCACGTGATAAATTAGGGCGAGATTGAAAATGAGTAAGGAAATTATGTCAACTCTGCACCCTGCAGGGGAAGAAAAATGATTACGGAAAAGAGGTAACAATAGCTTTGATCCTACTGTACATTATAACCATGTGAAAAGTGTTTCCTGTGTGAGGATCAATTGTATGAGGGGACAGATAAGAGGAGAATGGCCACGTGGGCAGATGATTTAAAATCACAGCCAATATTGGGTGTTATCTGACGAGAGCACTTATAACTCACAGGCAAGAAATTGGAGAGATGCAAGATCAGCTGCAGGAGGCAGAGCTCACCTTCCAACACAAGGTAACCTGAGTTGTGCCCCAACCTCCTGGCCCCTTAGCGCCTCCTGCAGGTGATGGAAGTGGCCCTTCGATCCCCCAACATGGGCTCTTGGTGTGTTGACTTTTTCAGATCGCAGCTCATGAGAGAAGTGCTCTAGATAATTGGGTAAGTGTTTTCTTTTTCCTCCTCTTCGTTTGGGGCCCAGTCCGGCACAGCTGAAGGTGGATGTGTTTTTCTCCCCCAGATCAAGGCTCAGGTTTGGGAGAGGAAGATAGTGCAGCAGAGGAGGGAGAACGCCTATGTGAAACACAGGTGTGTGATTTTGACGTGCCTTTTTCTGGGCGTCTTGAGGGGTCAAGGCTAAGCTGTTTAGTGTCTAGTAGAGGACATGGTGGTGTCATTCTTATAGACGTCCATTCTTTTTCTGTCTTCAAGACTGCACATGATGAGGAGAGAGATGCTGCCTGAGGGATCCATGAGGCAGGAACCGATGCCGGGAAGACCTGAGACACAGAACCGTGTGCAGAGAGGTAGGGAGCGTGCTGTGAAATGCAGCAGCCTGATCTCTGCTGGGAGAGCACATGGTGTCCTTCCCGTTCCTGTGGGTGATCACTGTGTGTCCTGGAGAGAATCACAAGCACTACCTAAGGACAGCAGGTTGTCTGAAGGGGTGACAGGAGGGTGCTTTCCTCAGGTGCCCACCGGCCGCAGGGCACCTGTCCCTGTGACAGGTGGAGCTCATGCCCCTCCCGTGACTGCAGACCCTCCCACCTCCTCTACCACCCACCTACTGAAGAGCTGAGCCTGGAGGAGTTGTGGGCCCGAGCTCCCTTCCCACCTTGATGCAATGGTGAAGACTTTTTGGAAAAAAAGAAATGGAGAAAAATGGCATTTATTTACTCTTTATGGAGGTTCCTTGATTTTTGTTTTATTCGTCATCTACAGTCCTATATTAATCCATGAAATTCATGCATTTTACTCCTCTAATGTTATCGGTATAAAGCCACAGCTTTACTTCTCAATCTGCCTATTTTTACTTTGCTCCTGGCTGTACGATTAGTGTACTCCAATTCTTCTCTTCAATATTTATGTAATAGCCAGCCACACATGCTAGGCCTCATCTATAGACTGAAGGATTGAACCATCAACTGGCGGCCTGAGACGAGAATGCATGCCGTTCATGTTGAGGGTTTATCCATTTTTAGCTGGTTGAGCCCAGAGCAGTCTACTGCTGTCCCCTTAGCTATGAAAACACCTGAAGCAAGCTGGGCGATGGTGGTCCCATCCTCGAGGGGGAGAGGCAGAGGTCTCCCCCTTGTCCTCAGGGGTCAGCAGAGACCTTTGAGAAATGCTGTGTGTCTGAGAAGGGACCCAAGAGTGGGACAGAGGGCAACGTGTTAGGGGCGGGTTTGGAGGGTTGGTTTGATTTCTGCACAGTCAGTGCTGGTCTGAATCCACCTCCATCTGTTCTAGGGCTTTGGTCTGATGCTGAAACTGGTGGGTCTCCCATGGGGAACAGGGGCACCGAGCCTCACAGAGACCCAGGGATGAGCAAGGTAACTACTGTGGCCTCTACCAGGTGTTCCGGAAACTTTTCCCTTTCTGAGCAGCACCCTGTCCTGGCCTTGTGTCTGTTGGGTGGGTTAGGGTTTGTCTGTGGTGTCGTTCACCTTTCAAAATACAAGCAGTTCACCCGGGGGCTGACAGGCTTCTCCATTACAGATCCTCACCTTCGGTGGCACCTCCTGAAGCCACGGGTGCTTAGAGGTGAAGGATGGCAGGGCGCTCACTGTGTGTGCGTGTGTGCTTGTGTGTGTGAGTGTGTGCGTGCGTGTGTGTGTTTGTGTCCATCCGTCCACCCCTGCCCACGCACAATGCCTGTGGGGGAAAGTAGCTCGAGGAGGATGACACGTCACTCCACAGTGAAGTCTCTGGCCGGCCTGACTGCCAGTCAGTAGGTTCCGATCAGGTGCGATTGGTGTAGTGTTCATGTTGGGGTTCGATGATTTACCTGTGCCAAGGTCTGTGGTAATCCTCACAACTGGAAACTAGGGGAAACTCTCTCTCCATTTTCTATTGTCTGTTTTGCAGTTTGGAATGTTCTTAGGGCAAGTTTCATAAGTCATCCCTGTTTTCCTTCTGCTGGTACAAATGCTGTACAGAATCCCTCTACTTGTACCCTTTCAACGACTGTTGTGAATTTCCAAAGTGGGGGGTGTCCTGGCACACACATTCTGAAGCGGGGATGTCGGTGATTAGCTGCATGACCCGGGCCTCACAAGCCCTGCAGTTGGGCTTCTAGGAGCAGGTCCTTTTGGTCTTAGGTCACTGTGAGAGCTGGTTTCTTCTCTCATCACACGCTCTGGAGTTGTCCGTCAGAAAGCATACACATTTTTGTGAATTCTCAAAATTCACAAAAGTTAGCCTTATTTAGCCTTCCCATCTTAATTTCCCACTGGACAAAATTGCTCTGGAACTCAGTGTGCGGAAAATTCCAATGACTGTGTTTTAAGATAAACACAGCCGCTGCACTTAAATAAGGGCTATTGGTATCATGTTCCTCTCAGAAAACCCTCTTCCAGGTCCCCTATCAGACCACAGGCCCCTAAATCCTCAAGGGTCTTTGTGGCCTGGACAGAAACTGCAGAGAGTAGAAGACCGCTTTGTCAGGAAGTGAGGCAGGTGGGGACAGTCAGGGGCTTTGCAGGCAAGGGATTCACCTCGAGTGGCTCGGATTCCTTGTGGAGAAAGGGCATTCAGTTTCATCACATTCTGTCTATTCTTAACAAACCCAAATCTTCTGCGGTGGTTGAAGAGGAAAGATGAAGTGTTGTCCACGATGTCGATGCCTCCCTGTCTGGAGTGTGGGCTGCTTTACTTGTTTCCAGTGATCCCTTTTCACCCTTTAAGACTCTACTTCTTGGTAGTGAATGTTGGCAGACTTGGGTAGTGATGTTTGATGACAGTAGGTTATTCCTGTAACATCCTTTCTCCTTCCCCGTCCCCCCCCTTATGATAGTAGGCAGCAATTGGGAGGGACAAAGTTTTCTAGCATGACGTGGCTCTCCTGGAACGTGGTATTGGGGAAGGAGCCAGATGCTGAGAGCTTGCTCTTTGGGTTTCATCTCTTGGTGTTGCAACTTTTGGCTGTCTTACCCAAATATTTTGTCCTCTGTTCTGCAGGTCGGTACAGATGTGAGAGGGTTTCCTCATGCTCCAAGGCCCCCCCATATGCCCTACCACATGGGGCAGGGTTTACCAGGCTTCCCTGGCTATGGGCCACCTCCACCTCCTCCACATGGGTGGACATGGGGGCCTCAACCACAGCTCATTCCTGCTACACATGGTAAGATGATCTGAACTGGATGACCTGAATCGTAAAGCCTATTCATAGTTTAAGTACTTCTGTTGGTGGAGAAGATGTAGAGGAGGTACCAGAAGGCTTTGCAATGCAAGGATCGACCTGAGTGAGGACATAGTAGCATTCGTCACCTTTCTGTGGACATCCATTTCATGGACTGTCTTGTTTCACCCTACAGAAATGGGCAGCAGGTGTCTGCCATAGAGAAGAAAAGTGACAGTTTGCAAAGGACAGACATAAAAGCTTTGCCCATGGGCACTGCCCAGACACAATGTTTTGGGCCCTGGGATGGATGAAGCACAACCTCAAATCACTGTTACTTGTGGAGGCCCCAGTTGTCCAGTGTTATTCACTAGCTCTGAAAACATCTGTCACTGGGTGGACTGATCACATCCTCAGTTGTGGGGGACTTGTCTCTCCTTTGTCCGCAGGGGTGAGAGGAGACCTGTGAGAAATGCTCTGAATCTGGAAGGGATGTGGGAGTGGGAGAGCGTGGAATAGGGTGGGGCAGGTGTAGAGGGTTGGCTTGCATCCTGCATGGTCAAGGCCAGTCTGAATCCACCTCTGTCCCTTGCAGGGCTTCGGTCGTATTCAGAAACCTGTGGCTCTCAAGGGGACAACAGTGGCACCCCGCCCAAGAAGGTCCCACAGAAGGACTAGGTAAATACTGTGTCTTTTCTCAGTTGTAACCATTTCTGGAATCCTGTTCCTGTCTGGGCAGCACCCTGTCCTGACCTGTGTCTATTGGGTATGTCCTGGGATCTGTGTGTGGTGTCATTGACCTTTCAATATGCCCAGTCTTCATTCGGAGCCTACAGACTTCTCTGTTTCCAAATCATCACCTTACGCGGGGCGTCCTGAAGCTCCACGTGCTTAGAAATGAAGGAGAGCAGGACCCTGCCCTTGTGTGTGTGTGTGTGTGTGTGTGTGTGTGTGTGTGTGTAAACTCCTGGAGGAGAGCAATATCTCACTCCACACTGAAGTCGGCCAGTCCCGCTGACTCCTTGCAGTTTGCTTTCCCGCGGGAGCGGTAGTGGTGTTGGGTTTCGGGTCAGGAGACTAAGCTGGGAGAATGTCTGCGGTAATCCTCACAGCTGGAAACGGGAAAAGCCATGCCCTGCCTCACACTTTGTGCCACGTGCTTTGGGCAGCTGTGAGTGTTGGTGGACAAGGTGAGCTGTGACCTCACGTGCGTTCCATCTGTGTGGGTAAAGACGCGACCCGGAATCCCTCCAGTTGCTCCCTGGGTGAGATGAAGGTGAACTCTGCCAGGGGCCAGCTGTGTGGTAGAAAACGCCTCCCAGAGCACAGCCGTGAAGAGGGAATCCCGGTGACTCCCTGCAGGGCCCACGGCTCACACACGTTTCAGTCGTGCTCCCGTGAGCGGGTTCTGATGCGGTTTGCTGGCTGTGCCGACTGATAGCGTCTCTCCTGATCCACCCTGGGAGGGTCACGCCTGCTCTCCAGACACATTGGTTTGCACCCGGGGATGCAGAATGGGCCCCTCAGTGGTTCTCGGCACCAAGGACTATGCATTTGCTCTGTGCCTGAGCTGAGGAGCATCGGAATGTCGGTGACTCAGATCCACAGAGCTGGGTCTCACGAACTCATCGGGATCGTGTTCTTCTCAGCACTTTTCCCGGTCCGCTGCAGGACTCCAGAAACTCCCGTCTCCTGAGCGGTGTCTGTGGCCATGGACAGCACTTGGGAGAGTAGAAGAAGACCCCTTTGTCAGGGAGGGAAGCGGAGCAGGGTCAGGCGGGGGCTGGTGGGCAGCAGTTGGACCCACGAGGGGCTGTGATTCCACGTGTGGACACTGGGCTTCTCCGGACTTCTCACCGTGCTGACCCCTGCTTCTTCGGGTTTCAGGTTGATGGGGGTTCTGCTTCTGTCTGTCATAGCAACATTCCTTTGGTTTCTGTTCTGCAGAACCCTGTGGATGCAAGAGGACCTGCTCCTGTACCCGGCCCACTGGGTCCACCGTACCCCACGGATCCCCCTTCATCACCATCCTGGAGCCCTGGGGCACATCTCCCTCCACCCACCCAGTGGTCTCTGCATCCTTACCCTGCACCCGAACCTACACCACAGGGTTTGATGATATGAATTGTATGATTTGACTTATAATCTGTATTGTCTTCTTTCTTATTGAGTTGGTGGGGCAAAGGCCAAGTTTGTGCTGAGGCCTTGACATTGGGAGGGGAAAACCGCCTGGGGGCGCTGTAACATCCTGAAGTTTCTCAGGACATACAGGTGTTGTGCTGGGCTATTTCCACACACTGAGCGGGGGGAGGTGCCGTTGTTGGGAAGGAAGTGTCTCTATCGCACAATGGCAGACATATATTTCTTACCGTCGGGCACGTCCAGAGTCCACAGTTGTTGTTCTGGGCGGGATGAAACACACCTCTCACTTTGTTTTCAGCGTGTTGAGTTTGAGCTCTCATTTCCTCAGTTATATAAACACCTGAAGCAGGGCTATGGTCCCTTGATTAATCATTAGGGCAGGGGTCTGTCCCTTGTCCTCGGCAGTCAGTGGATACTTGTGGGAAACCCTCTTGTCCGGTAAGGGAGGTGAGAATGAGAAACAGTGGCAGATGCTGGAGGCAGGTGTAGACGGTTTGTTAGAATGTTGCTCAGTCACTTCCAGTGGGATGGTCTTCCGTCTTTTCTCTGACGTGGGTCAGATACAGACGCTGGGGCATCCTCCATAAGGAATAGCAGTCCTACATGCAGGCCTCTCATGTTATGGGAGAGTGAATGTTGCTAAGGACATGATCACTTTCTTCAGGTTGCTCAGGAGACGCCTTTGAGGGACTTTGTCTTTCACTCATACTGAGGTGGTCAGCAGGTCCCTTTGTGGTGAAGGAGAGCCGCTGTTCTCCAAAAGCTGGGCACAGCAGGTATGCGCATGCACACTGTGCAGAGACGATATTCTGTGCTCTGGGAGGGATGAGGAGGGAATTTCAGGGGTCTGAGAGCAGCGAGGGACACATTCATTAAACGACAGAGAGGTTGTGTTCCGTATAAGGGAAGCCCCAGCGATGGATCTGAAGGACCAGAGAGGGAGCCATGAGTCACTAGAAACAGGAGGCTGTGGATGAGCAGGATGGAGGTGCTCAGGGGAGTGGATGGGCCTCTCTCGGGTAGAGCGGAGGCCGTTCCTGCAGGCCAGCAGCTTGAGCAGTGAGTGTGAGGACACCGTGAGATCCACACCGAGCTGCTGCCTGTGTCCATCACACAGCGTGGATGATGCAATTATTTGTATCAGAACGTCATGGTTGCCATAAAGCTGTTCGTTCATAATCTATAAGGATTGTTGTTTCCTCTGAATTTCTGAAGGTTCTGAACTGGGTGAAAGAATGTGGTGGAGACTTGGGAAATTGAACTCGGTTCCTTTGGGGATTCTTGTCTGCCTGAGTTTGTGGGCCCCAGTGAGAAAAAGTGAAGACGGGACCAAGATCAGCAGAGTGGCTGCCTTGGCCTTCAGCCCGAGTCAGACTCTTCGTGGGGCATTCAGGATTGACCAGGAGCCACTCTCGCTGGATCCCTGTCACTACGCCTCTGCATCTGAGTCACCGCCCTGCCTGCACTTTGCATCTCCCTGAACTTTGGTCACAGTATCCTGCGGATTGACCTGTGTTCCTGCCCGAATGCCAGCTCTCCGTGGGGCCTACTCAGAGCCTCAGCTCTGTTATCTGTGAAAGGGGAGCCTGTCGGATTCTGAGGTCATTAGAAGAATAGGAGTTGAAGTACATAAAGAATCTGCAGGGGCCCCTGGGTGGCTCAGTCGATTAAGCATCGGACTCTTGATTTCTGCTCAGGTCATGATCTCAGGGTTCTGTGATCGAGCCCCAAGTCAGGCTCGGCGTTGGGTGTGGAGCCTATCTAGGAATTTCTGTCCTCCCCACCCACCCCCCCACGCCCCCCACGCCCCCCACGCCGCCTTTCCAGCACAAATTTGCCCTTTTTCGGTCTCTATCTCAAGAAAAGAAAAAGAATATGCAAAATATCTGGGCTCTTGGCCACTCCCCCTTCTCACTGTTTAAATGAAAATAGCTCCATCAGATGATCATCAAAAGATGTTCATTTAAGTCCACAACATTACACTGAGAGTATAACACCTCAGCCCAGAGATTGGCATCCTCATTTCAAAAATAAGGCAAAGACCCCCCCCCCTTTTTTTTCTATTAAATTTTAGGTCCTAGCCAAGAACGAAGTAAAAGATCATTATGAGAACATGTATATTCAGAGATTCATATCTGAGATGTGAAGACAGTTATTTTCTATTACATACAGACTCACGGAAGCAGCCACACCCTCAGGTGTTCATTCAAGGCCTCAGATATACCAGAGGAAGCAAATGCATTCAGGAAAACATAAGGTCACAGTGTACTAACCCCAATCCGTCTGCCTTACAGGACAGTACATTTGCTATTTGAAGACCTCCCTGAGCAGTAACAACCAGGCTGTGTGTGCATATATTTAGAAAATTGTCAGATCAGCCTAATGTCCTGAATGTTGTCCCTGCCCATCCTGTCCCCTGTGCTCTGTCTCTCCTGGGATCCCCCAAATAAACCTTCCACGGTTCTGTCTCTGTGTCAGCGTCTGCCATCAGGACGCCCTACAGTCGCTCCCCTTCGAGTGCACGCTGTGAAGCCCGTACACACAGAAAACAAACCGGCAGCAATGGTGGTGACGGAGAATAGTAGCAAGAGTCCCCTTTGTGGTATCTTTACTGCAAGGGGCGTAAGAAATCCTTCTGGGGAGGCGGACACAACATGTATTTAAGTCTGTTGGTGGTTGTATGAACTCTGGTGCTAGATACTCTTGAGCACATGGCGCCTGCTAGTTTAAGGGGTGTGTGGTGATCAGCAGGACAGGTGTCTGTCCCCAGGCAGTGGTCTGTTGTGATGGTGAGGAATGAACGAAGCATCCCTAGTGGCCCTGGGAGACCGGTGAGGAGGCCCTGCATTAATCCAGATTTTGTGCACTGGTTTCACCTTACCACCTGCCCCCCAACAGCAGATGGGCTCTGAGGGGGGCTGATGGTGACAGTTTTCTTGGTAAGACCCACGATGCCCCATAATCCGCCTCCAGTTTCCTTGTTGAGGGATGGGCAGGGCAGAGGCCAATGACAAGAGACCCATTCCTCCCTCACCACACAGGAGGAGTTGGGTGTATGCTTCTGTCACTTTTTAGTCCTTTACTCCAATCCATTCTGCACCACAACTCCTGGGTCTTGCAAAGCCCTCCTTCTTCCCGGGTTGTGGAAGCAGCCATCCTCCAGTAGCTTTGAGGTCGTGGCTGGGCCACCAAGGTGTCCAGGTCTGTCTGTCCACATGCTTCCCAGGAGTGGCTGGTAACTGCACTGCTGTAGTCAAGGTCAGCCTGAGCAGCCTTTGACAATGGGATTGCCATGCCCTGTGAGCAGGGTCTGGGCCGAATGATGGCAGGAGAGAGGGGGAGACAGGAGAGGTGGTTCCCTGTGGTCTTGGACAGGGCTGCACAGAGCAGAAGGCCTGAGGGCCTGCGGAGAGATAGGAAAAGAGACTGTCAGGGAGAGAGACACTGAGTGAGTGGTGGGGGGATTGGGCAAGTCCTAGAAAGTGAGAGGAACAAAGAGAGAGACACAGGGTAGAGAGAAGCAGAGACAAAGAGGAATTTCAAGGATGAAAAGAGGTTGCTGGTCTAGGTGTATGGAAGTGGACCGTGGACCAGGGTGGAGGAGGTCGATGTAGGTGCTTTGAGCATTGGGACCCGAGAAGGTGGGAAAGCAGGTGATCAGATTTCCCTGAGCCCAAAGCTCCCACCTTCCTAGGGCTGAGCTTTGCAGAGGCCGTTTCACTTGGGAAGATGGGCACACGTCCTTTTGCATGGACTTGTGGGGCCGAGCCTCAGGATCTGTCATGGAGAGAGATGGCTTGGCTGGACCTGAGCATGCTCTGTCCCTCCAGCTGAGGGGCCATGGCTTTGAGCATTGTAGGGATTCCCAGTGCGGCCAGGAGAGGGCGCCCGCGCACCTCCACCGGGACGTGGAGGTTTCTCAGCGTTTGCTGACCCAGGGCATCTCAGAGCAGGAAGGACTTCTGTAGCAGCCCAAGGATCCAGCCCGACTCTGGCTGCCCCAGGATAGAGAGCCAGGGCTGTGGTTCCAGTAGGTTCTGCCACCACCCTGTGGGAGACCCTGGGGGCTTTGCAGCAACTTGGTGCCTCCTGACGTGCCACAGACAAGCTGCTTTGTTGGGTGAGTGCTGAGGAGGGGGCTCTGGGTGTCTTCCCAGGACATGCTGGTAGGTGAGCAGCACAGTCGCTTGCATTTCCTGAGCTGTTCCCCTGGTTCATTCCTCCCTTTCCCTGAGGGTATTTCAACAAGACGTATTTTACTCAGGGATCCGTGGATTGAGGGGTCCTGCAATGTCACATCAGAGATGCTGTGGTGGTTTTGTTACAGCTGGAACCAGAGCCCCAGGTAAAAGCACAGAGTGTCCTCCACTTAAACATGCGTTTACTGCACAGTTAATTGGTAATGTTTATAGGAAGAGAACATGATTAGATTTTTTTTTTTGTCACTAATGCAACATACTATCAATTGCTGTTAAGCTTGGAAAACTGCACTTGGTTAACACTGATTTCAAGGATAGTGAGCACTCTTAAGCTTCAGGTCCCATGCCTCCTGAGACTCCAGGGAATGGGAATTTTTTTCCTGGAGGAGGAAAGTGTTCACTGTTTTGCAGTCAAGGTATAGACTTTAGGTAGTCCTCCATCCCTTGTTAAAGGAGTATGTCTTTGTCCCCGGCAAGTTTTGAAGAGTGCTTATTAGAAAAGTTGCTTGAATTGAAACTTCTAGACTCAAATAGTGGAGTTCGGGTTTTCATGGGACAGAAGTTGTTATTTAGGAAGTATCAGTGTTGGGACTGTAAGTGATAATAAAAGTAAGGAACCATGCCAGTCATTTGGCGTATGATGTGGAGCACTGCACTAATTTCTCAATGTTTCAGATCCCAGGGGTCATGATATTGAATATACACATGTGAGGAGAGGGTTGGTGCCCTGCTGTCATTACTGGCACCCCCCATCCTGCACACACAGTGACTGCCTATACTGCAGTTGCCGGCAGCTCTTTGCCT